AAAATTGTGGTATCTATACACAATGGAATATTATGCAGCCATTAGAAATGACAAAATAATGGCATTTGCAGGGAAATGGATGGAGCTAGAAGGAATCATATTGAGCGAGGTAAGCCAAGAGCAAAGAGACAAACGGTACATGGTCTCCCTGATAAGTGGATGTTAAATCCAAAATGCTAGGTGATATGACAAAATTAACAGGACTTAAGAAACAAAGAACTCCTGCTCATCTGGTTGAACCACTACTAAATATCCCCATGCTGCTGATCACATGTATGGTGTATGTGTGTACACCGTTATATGTTATAGACCGTGATAGACAATTTGCTCCAGAAAAGTTAGAATGAACTTGTGACTTTAAATGAGCATCATTAGGGACTGGGAAGGTAGCTCAGTGGTAGAGTGCCTGCCTTGCAAGCATGAGGCCCTGGGTTCGATTCCTCAGCACCACATAAACAGAAAAAGCTGGAAGTGGCACTGTGGCTCCAGTGGTAGAGCACTAGCCTTGAGCTGAAGAGCTGAGGGACAGGCCCAGACCCAGAGTTCAGGCCCCATGACCGGCAAAAAACAAACAAAAAAAAATGAGCATCATTATTCCACAATACTGTGAAATTTGGGAAATTATGTAATTACTTAATCATAATTAAAAAAAAAAAAGAACTCGGGGAAGGTAGGGAGGGAAGGGATGGTAGGGGGAAAACAATGGAAGTGTACTCATTACCTTGCTCATGTAACTGTAACCCTCTGTATAGTATCTTTACAATAAAAAATTAAAAAAATAAAATTTTGCATTCTTTTCATGATAAAATAAGATATACTGTGCACAGGGAGAGACAAATGTATATAAATGTGTCCACACTGAGCGGAGAGGTGAATGTCCTGATTTTCTAGCATTGGAATTATGTAGGGCAACAGGTAAAATCAGAACAGTTCTCTGCATTGTGTAGGCAATCCTTGTATACGAGAAATAATTTATTAGAAACTCCCCCCAGATGTCTCTACTTTCTTTTTTACATGCAAGAACAAACTGATATTTCCCACATGGGTTCCCAATGTTTTTTGTTAACTAGTTACCAAAAAGTTTTGGGTCCCAATGTGGTGGCATATACTATAATCTCAGCTACATCAGGAGTAGAGGTCAGAAAAATCATAGTTCAAGGACATCTTGGGCAAAAGAAGTTAGTGAGATCTCTATCTCACCCAGGCAGAGGTAGCATACACACACAATCTCAGCTCCAGGGGAGGCTTATGTACGAGAACTGTGGGCCTGGGCAAAAATGTAAAGTAAGTGTGTGAGGAATAAAGGGCAAGGGGAAGCTGAGCGCCTGTAGCTCACGCCTGCAACCAGCTGTATGTAGCTGAAGGCTAGCACTTTACCACTGCACAGGAGGCTGAGATTTGAGGATCATGGTTTGAAGCCAGCATGGGTAGGAAAGTCTGAGAGACTCTTACCTCCAATTAACCACCAGAAAACCGAAATGGAGCTATGGCTCAAAGTGGTAAAGTGCCAGCCTTCAGCAGAAGAGCTCAGTGATAGTACCCACACCCTGGGTTCAAACCCAATGACTGACCAAAAAAGAAAAAAAAGTCAAGGGGAGTGGTTTAGCACTTGTGTGGCAAATGAGAGGTTTTGGTTCAAATGAGAGAGAGGGGGGGAGAGGGAGGAGAGGGAGGGAGGGGGGAGAGGGAAGAGAGGAAGAGAGGGAGAGAGGGAGAGAGGGAGGGAGGGAGGGAGAGAGAGAGGGAGAGGGAGAGGGAGAGAGACTAAGACCATGTACAATAACAAAGCAGCGCCCTCTAGAGGAAGCCCAATTTGGAGGTTCTGTAAACCTATATACAGCTGGGTGCTGGTGGCTCATATCTATAATCCTAAAGGGGCTGAGATCTGAAAATCATGTTTCTAAGCCAGCCTGGGCAGACAAATCTGAGAGACTCTTATCCACAATTAATCAGCAAAGAGCCAGATGTGGAGGTGTTCTTCAAGTGGTAGAGTGCCAGCCTTGAGCAAAAACCTAAGGCACAGCATCCAGCCCGTGTTTAAGCTCCAGTACAAGCACAATAAAATAAAATAAAATAAACGTAAGTAGAAACAGGTCTTTAAGCTCACCCTTCCTTGGAGCAAATATTTCCAGTAGGTAATTCCAATAGTCAACCTCCTGTATTTTTTGTGGGTTCTAAGAACACATAGCTACATGCTTCTTTGTATGTGTAGTACTGGGGATTAAGCCTATGGCCTCATAAAGTATGAGGGAAGCACTCTCCCACTGAGCTATGATCCTAACCTATAGGTGAATTTTTATGACTGAAGTATATTCTGAAGGCTCTACTGTAATCAAGTGCATAAAAGTTGACTGATGAGCCAGGTGCCAGTGGCTTACGCCTGTAATCCTATCTACTCTGGAGGCTGAGATTTGAGGATCATGGTTCAAAGTCAGCCTGAGCAGGAAAGTCCATGAGACTCTTTTTTTTTTTTTTTTTTTTTGGTCCGGTCGTGGGGCCTGAACTCTGGGCCTGGGTGCTGTCCCTCAGCTCTTCAGCTCAAGGCTAGCGCTCTACCACTTGAGCCACAGCGCCACTTCCGGGTTTTTTCTTTTTGCTTATGTGGTGCTGAGGAATTGAACCCAGGGCCTCATGCATGCAAGGCAAGTGCTTTACCACTGAGCCACCTTCCCAGCCCTAGTCCATGAGATTCTTATCTCCAATAAACCACTAAAAAACTGGAAGTGGTGCTGTAGCTCAAACAGTAGAGCGCTTGCCTTGAGCTGAAGAGTACAGAGAAAACGCCCAGGCCCAGAGTTCAAGCCCCATGACCACCACCACCACCAACAACAACAAAAAGTTGGCTGATAATCTATAACCATTTGTCAGTCTGTGTTATGGGCTGAATAGTGGTGCCCTCAGAAATTCTTAACCCACAATGTAACAGTATTTGGAATTGGGGCTCTTGGGAGTCCATTAGGTTCATGAGGCTCTGTAATCATGAACAGGATCAGAGTCCTTATAAAAAAGGCCCAAGAAGCCTGTTATGTGACAGTGAGATCATTCTTTCATGAAACTAGGAAACACACACCAGATTGCCTGGTACCTTGATCTGGGATTTTCCAGCTTCCTGAACTTTGAGAGTAAATTTCTCAGATATAAGCCACACACAGTCTACAATTCTGTTACAGCTGTCAAAATGCACTAAGATAGTTTGGATCAACTCTGAATAGATCTTACATTCACCATCCAACCACAGTCTTCTTCACCAATACCAGCCTTTCACCTTTTATTTTAACACTGATATAGATGTGTATATTATAGCAAATGCTTTTATTTCAGGATAAAATTGTTCCTGTTAACATTAAAAACCTGTCTTAGGGGGCTGGGAAGGTGGCTCAGTGGTAGAGCACTTGCCTTGCATGCCTGAGGCCCTGGGTTCGATTCCTCAGCACCACATAAGCAAAAAGAAAAAACCCGGAAGTGGCGCTGTGGCTCAAGTGGTAGAGCGCTAGCCTTGAGCTGAAGAGCTGAGGGACAGCGCCCAGGCCCAGAGTTCAGGCCCATGACTGGACCCCCCCCAAAACCCCCCCCCAAAAAACCTGTCTTAGATAATGCTTAGGGAATACTCCATTTTAATACATAAAAACTATTTTAGCTCCATGTAGTGACATTCTCTTGTAGCCCAGTAGTTCAAGATCAGCCTGGAAAACAGGACATCATCTCAAAAAAAAGGACAATTTGATTTTTTTTTTATCAGTGCTGGGGTTTGAACCAAGATCTTTGTGCATGGTAAACACATGCTCTCTACCACTGAACTAGATAGACTTCCAGTTCAGAATTAGTTCTATTTATACACTCAGACACACAGAATCACACACACAAATATGTGTTTTTTTTCTTTTTGAGAGTCTTGCTATGTTTCCTAGGATGGCTTCCAAGTCCTGAGTTCAAATGATCCTCTTGCCTCAGCCTTCCAGATGGCTGAGACCACACATGTTCAATCTACCACACCTCACACAAGTGTACTTCGCTGTAAATTTCACTTTCAAAAATAGCAGTCTCAGCCATATGTAATGGCATATATCTATAGTCAGGAGGCTGAGGCAGGAAGATCATGAGTTTGAGGCTAGTTCAGAAATCCATTGAGTTTCAGGCCATTCTGAACTATATAGTGAGAGCTTGTCTCCAAATCCAACCAACCAACCAACCAATCAACCAAATAAACAAACACAAGTTCCTTTCAAAGAATAAAAACAAAACAAAATCTGGGTGCTGGTGGCTCACTCCTAGCTACTCAGGAGGCTGAGATATGAGGACTGTGGTTCAAAGCCAGCTCAGGGAGGAAAAGTCTGTGAGACTCTTATCTCCAATGACCCAGCAGAAAAACAGAAGTGGAGCTGTGGCTCAAAGCTTGGCAAAATGTTAGCCTTGAGCAAAAGAGCTCTGGGGCGACACCAAGGTCTCAAGTTCAAGACTCACTGTCGACTGAAAAAAAAAAAAAGAATAATCATCAGTCTTGGGCTGAATGCTTAAACATGCAAAAGGCCTGGGTTCAATCCTCACCACACCCCAAAACAAAAACAGTGACTAATATACCCAGAAATTTCTTTCTCATAAATTATCTATGTAGGTATTTTCACTCAAAATGGAAATACTTAAAGTTAAATCTATAACCAATCCTCTTTCTTTCTTTTTTTTTGTTGGTCGTGGGGCTTGAACTCTGGGTTTGGGCGCTGTCCCTGTGCTCTTCAGCGATCTACCGCTTGAGCCACAGCACCACTTATGGTTTTCTGGTGGTTTATTGGAAATAAGAGTCTCACAGACTTTCCTTCCTGGGCTGGCTTTGAATGGCGATCCTCAGATCTCAGCCTCCTGAGTAGCTAGGATTACGGGTGTAAGCCACCAGCGCCCAGCTCTCTTACTTTCTTGAAATGTATGCTTTTATTGAGCAGGATTAGAAAGGAAGGAATGCATATGAAGTCAACAAAGACACTTACTGGGTTTGTGAGCACCATTCTACAGATGTCACATGATTACCTTTTCAATGGTTCCAGTCATTGGAGCTATGGCACCTACTCCTTGGATTCCTTCAGCGCTCACAGAAGACAGGTATTTGGGTACTGGAATGTCAATCTCAGTTCTGCCTTCCTATACAAAGAAAACAAACTGAAAATGGGATCCAGAGCCCCCCCTCCTCCACTGTATTTTTTTTTCTAATACATCTGAGCTACTGATGCTTCTCAAGTTACCCATTAACTATTTCATCATGGATGCCAGAGTTCTGATCTTGCTTTGTGGTCTCGAACAAATTACTAAATGCTCTCAGATTTAGTCTCCTATTAAAAGGAGTAATATACATAGTGGGTAAATGTTGAAGTGTATATTAGGTAACAGAGGTACCGCCTGGAAGTGGTTTTTAGAAGAATCTCCACTAGCTAGTGCTTAATCTATGCCAGGAACTTAACATTCATATTTATTGTATCATTATGTATATTTATATATTATATCATCAATCATAAAAACAACTCTGGAAGTAGATACTGCTATTGTTCCTATTTCTAGATGGGAAACTGAAGCCCAAATAGTTTAATGATGGGGGGTGGGGAAGGGAGGGTCCAGATACAGATAGTAGGTGGGAAGGGTCAGGATCTGAACCAAAAGCAGCTCTGCATTCCAGAACTTAAGCTTTTCACCACTCCACATATGTGTCTCCCACCATATTGTAACGGCACAGTCGGCTTTGAAAGAGAACACTTGGTAACATGGATTCATCCTTGACTCCACTATGGGATATTAAAGCCATCTCATCACAAAGCACTGTGATCTGAAAGATGGCGCCCAAATATGCCTGGGCATATCTGCCTGGGCAGAAGGCTCCTAAACAAAGCCATGATACCCTTTGATCATGAGGTGCTTATAACCCATCCGCCTTTCTGCTGTCCACTTCCCTACAAGGAACATCTGGTCCACAGAATCCTCTCCCAGAGGTCACCTCCCAAACCCCAGATTCCAGATGTCAGGAGAATGGTGGCCGGGGAACGTGTGTAAGCATCACAACCTGGGGGAACATCACCACGAAGGCCAGACCGACAAGGACAGAATGTCTTATTTCAGAAAGAGGAAGAAAACAGCTGCGTGTCTAACAAGGAGAATCTGTGTGAGTAAGAGAGATGAAGGGAGAACCAGGGAAGGCAGGAGTATGGCAGAGACATGGAGTGGAGAGGAAACGCAGGGAAATGCAACCAGAGTAGCAGAAGGAAGCGGGATCTTCTCTCTTTCAGTGAAATGCGTACAGTGGGCATTTCCCTCTGAACCCCAAGAAGACACAGTACCATGGAAAATAGGTAAATCGTGTTGTCCAGGATAACCAGCTTAGCTTTACTGGCCACTCCATTGACAGAACACTTGAGGTAAGTGCAATCTCCCTCGCTATGAAGATCACCAAGGACTTGGAAGGTCTTATCTTCAATCTGAAAGAAACAGAAAAGAGCTTTAAAAAGAACAATCCTGCAGAATAAAATCAGAACCAGCCTTCACTTTAAAGGTAAAATATAAAATATACTTTTAAAAGCCCTGTAGGAACTTCCCTCTAAGATTTCTTATCAAAATACTTTAGATAGAAACAGCAATAGGATTGAAAAAAATTAGTTATATAATCTGCCCATAACCTGATAATACTACAGATAAATTTAAGAACAGAAATAGTTAAACGGGGTTTGGTGGGTCACGCCTGTAATCCTAGCTACTGAGGAGGCTGAGACCTGAGAATCGGTTCAAAGCCAGCCCAGGCAGGAAAGTCCAGGAGACTGTTATCTCCAATTAACCACTCAGAAAACCGGAAGTGGCACTGTGGCTCAAGTGATAGAGCACTAGCCTTGAGTTGAAAAGCTAAGGGATAGCACCCAGGCCCAGAGTTCAAGCCCCATGACCGACAAGACAAAAAAACCCCAAAACAAAAAAAAACAAAGAGCAGAAATAGCAATACAACTGCTTTGTTAAATGGCAGCTTCTTTGTACAACTACTTAAAGATAATAATTTTTTAAGATCACATTAAACTAGCTAATTAATTAAAAACATTCAAATTAATTAAAACCATGAAAACATATTAAGGGTATATTACATGTTAAAGCTAATTTATTCTTCCTTTTTTTTCTTTTTGTGTCAGTACTAGAGCTTAAACTCAAAGCCAGGAGTTTTTTACACGGCTGGTATAGTACCATTTGACCCACAGCTCTACTTCCAGCTTTTTTTGCTGATTAATTGCAGGTAACTTTTATGTCTAGGCTCTCTTTGAATCACCATCTTCAGATCTCACCTTCCTGGGTAGCTAGGATTACAGATACTATCAATGCTTACCTACTAGTAGTTCTCATTTCTGAGCACCTCCATAAAAAAAAAAGAAATTAAAAATTTTTTTTAAAAAAACCCTAGTTTTCCTGTGCCAATGTTGGTAATGAAGAAAACCAGAATTATATAATTAGGCAGTATGTGTGTGTGTACATATTATTATTATTTGCCAGTCCTGGGGCTTGAACTCAGCGCCTGGGTGCTGTCCCTGTCCTTCTCTGGCTAGCAGTCTACCACTTGAGCCACAGCACTACTTCTGGCTTTTTCTGTTTATGTGGTTCTGAGGAATCGAAACCAGGCCTTCATTCTTGCTAGGCAAGCACTCTACTACTAGGCCACATTTCCAGCCCTGATATGTATTCTTTTATATCATTAATATATAGATCAAGTTCATATGTTTAGGTTATGATTTAAGAAGAAAAGTTAGCTAAAGACTGAACACAGTATTTACTCTGAGAGATTGAATGCCAAAGAGCAGATTTTCCTTCCATTAAGTGTTTTGAGGAAGCTAATAAAAACACATGCAATTTTTGTGTTTTGAGGGTATTTTCTCCTATACCCTCTCAAGAAAAATTTCCCTCATCTGAAAAAAATCAATTTTAAATATTCTTTTTCGTTTATATTCTTTTGTTATTAGTGCCTAAGTTCTGTGGCTATTCTTTTCCGATACATTATATAGGCTAAGGTAAAATAGGTCATACTGCAATATTTAGACTTTGGTTCTCATCTATCCTAAATTCAATGTGATATTTTATTCTGCCTTCTAACCTACTAAAAGAGCCATTAGAATGTGAAATTGTCAGGATATAAGGGTTGGATGGGAAATAGTTCTGTTTAAAGATTCACAAAAGCATTCTCAATTTGTGAATTTAGTTCCATGAACCAATTAGAACTGGTAACTTACTTTAGTAGTTACCAGGGACATGAAAGGGCCCCAGAACCAAAGTCACCAATATGAACTCTAAAGCTGGTGGACATCCCATGGTTCTTCAAATCTCAGAGAAAGGAAAACAGCCTGTCTCAAAGTCTTGAAGTCTACTATTACCAATAATTCCATTTTTTTGGGGGGGAGGGTCCAGTTGTGGAGCCTGAACTCTGGGCCTGGGCACTGTCCCTCAGCTCTTCAGCTCAAGGCTAGAGCTCTACCACTTGAGCCACAGCGCCACTTCCGGTTTCTTTTTGCTTATGTGGTGCTGAGGAATCGAACCCAGGGCCTCATGCATGCAAGGCAAGCACTCTACCACTGAGCCACCTTCCCAGCCCCCAATAATTCCATTTTATAGGATTTAAAGCCTCTAAGCTCATATAAAAATGATATATTTTATTCCTTGTGTTTGTTCCTTGCTCTAGGAATTTGGTAAAATTCCTACAATTTAAAATGTTTTTACAGCTGGGCACTGGTGGCTCATGCCTGTAATCCTAGCTACTCAGGAGGCTGAGATCTGAGGATCGTGGTTCAAAGCCAGCCGGGCAGGAAAGTCCATGAGACTCTTATCTTCAATAAACCATGAAAACTGGAAGTGGTGCTGTGGCTCAAGCAGTAGAGCACTCGTCTTGAGCTGAAGAGCTGAGGGACAGCGCCCAAGCCCAGAGTTCAAGCCCCATGACCGACAAAAACAAAAAAGCAATAAAAGGTTTTTACCGTTTCATTTTGCCAATGCAGTGACCATCTTTTAATTGAGGGCTATCATCAACTTAACACTGGAGGTTATTAAATATAATCTGCAGATTCATTGGGGTTCCTAAGATTCATGTAGGGATCCATGAAGTCAAACTATTTTCATTAAATAACAAACATTTTATTTGCCTGTTAAACTCTCATTTTCTTAGGAATACTTGGTGGAATATTCTAGAAGCTACTGGACACGTGATAAAGTTATCATTCTGATGGCTGGTGGAATGTGCACTTACATAATTTTAGATTTTCCATTTTTCCATTTATCCTATAACTCAACAATAACTAAATAATTAGGTTAAAAAATAGACAAAGAATCCAGGCACTTGTGGTTCATGCCTGTAATTTTAACTAGTCAGGTAGCTGAGAGCTGAGGTGTATGGTTCAAAGCCAACCCAGGTAAGAAGTCTGTGAGACTCTTATCTTCAATTATCTTCAACCACTAAAAGCCAGAAGTTGCTCAAGTGATTAGGTACTAGCCTTGACAAAAAAAAGTCTGGGCCCTGAGTTCAAGCCCTAGAACCAGTGTGTGTGTGTGTGTGTGTGTGTGTGTGTGTGTGTGTGTGTGTGTGTGTGTGTGTGTGTGTGTGTGTATGTATGTATATATATATGTATATACTATGTATATGTATATATAAACAGACAAAGAAAGCCAGGTGCTGATGGCTCATGCCTATAATCTTAGCTACTTAGAATGCTGTGATCTAAGGATCTTGGTTTGAAGCAAGCCTGGGCAGAAAAGTTTGTGAAACTCCATCTCCAATTAACAAAATGCCAAGCTGTAGCCATGGCACAAGTAGCAGAGAGTCAGTTGTGAGAGTGTGAGGCACTGAGTTCAAGCTGCAGAACCTATGAGAAAAAAGAACAGGCAAAAGAATATTGGGACTGTTAGTACACATGTGTACTCTCAGCCTTCAGGAGGCTAAGGTAGGAGGATCATAAGTTTGAGGCTAGCCTGTGCTACACAATGATCTCTAGGCCAGTCCCAACTATATAGCAAGACTGTGGCGTAGGGTGGGGGGCGGGAGGGGGGAGGCAAAAGACTTGAACAGACATTTCTCCCAAGATATACAAATGGTCAACACCTATCTGAAAACATGTTCAACATCCTAAGTTATCCATCTGCAAATCACAGTCATGATGTCATACCACTTCTACCCACTGGTGAAAGTAACAGCCATTGGATGGCTATTACTACAAAAGCAGCAATAACAAAGCAGAGAGAGCCTGGGTACCTAGTGTGCAAAATGATGCAACTGCTGTGGGGAACAGGATGGTGGCTTCTCCAAATCTAAATAATGGAATCATACCATGATCTCACAATTCTTCTTGATAGATCCCCAAAGTGTTTAAAACAGTTTCAAAGAGCCACCTGTCTTCTCATCTTCCTAGCAACATTAATTCACAATAGCCAAAGGTGAAAATAACCTGTGGCCACTGACAGATGAGTAGATAAAGAAAAGGTGGCATATACATGTAATAAAATGCCTCAACAAGGGAAGAAAATTCTGGTGCATGCTACATTGGACCAACCGAAATATATCAGGAACAAAAGGAGAGATATTAAATGACCTCAGTCATGTCAGGTACCTAGAGTAGTCACATTCAAGACAGCAAGTAGGCTGTGACCGGTGGGTATCAGGAACAGAGGAGAAACAGATTGGAGTTAACAGTACTGCATTTTGGTTTTAGAAGATAGAAGAAACTCTGGAGTCATATGGCGGTGATGACTATGCAATAGTACGAATGTGATATCATGGAGCTGGATTAGAAATGATTAAAATACTTCATTTTATGTGTATTTTACCATAACTAAAAAATAATAAAGCGCTGATGGCTCATGCCTGTAATCCTATATACTCAGGAAGCTGCCAACTGAAGATTGCAGGCAGGCAATAAAGTCTTATCTCCTATTAACCACCAAAAAGCTGGAAGTGGAGCTGTGGCTCAAGTGGCACAGCACTTCCCCTGAGCAAAAAAAATCTAAGGGATAGTGCCTAGGCCCTGAATTCAAGCCTCATGACTGGCAAGACAACAAACCATTTTTCTTAGTTAACTTTTCTAAATGCTAAATAACTTTACTTGAAACTAATAAAAGCTCTTTGACAGAGGTGTAATTTCCTCAATAATTTTTAAGAGCGTACGAGGTTTCTAAGATGTAATACTTGAGAACCACTTTTTGATGTAAATACACAAACCTACTTCAACGGCTTTATTAGGTATGTGATTCAAAGGTATTAACTTTTTGACAAGTTTTTATTCTTGAGGGAACCACAACCACATCCAAAGGGAGTAAACACGGGTTAGAGACTACGTGGGGGTAATTTTCATAGACTGGTCTAAAGTAGAAGGACATGACATTCTCCTAACTACAGTTACAATAGCCCAAGGCTTACAAGAAACTAGAGAGTGAAAAAAAGACCCTATAAAGTACAAGAGAGATCAGATTTAGCTCCAAACTAAAGAACAAATGCTGCAAGGCTTACCTGCATGCTGTATGACCCATCTGGGTTATATGTTACAGCTATGGTCACATCTTTACAGAAGAAGGGGAAAAATTGAAGAAAAATTAGAAGACATTCAATTATTTCATAACTGATCTGCCAAAAATCTCACTTTCAATCTGATAACCAGCTATTCAAACAAACATTGATCTTTTAGCTCGATGTGGGTACATGTTTTTCCTTAGGAAGACATCTGTCGGGCAGGTTTCAATGAAATCTGAGTTTTTCCTATCTTTATTTAAAAGAATAGACTTTTAGCTGGGTGCTGGTGGCTCACGCCTGTAATCCTAGCTACTCAGGAGGCTGAGATCTGAGGACTGTGGTTCAAAGCCAGGCTAGGCAGGAAAGTCCATGAAACTCTTATCTCCAATAAACCACCAGAAAACCGGAAGTGGCGCTGCAGCTCAAGTGGTAGAGCGCTAGCCTTGAGCTGAAGAGCTGAGGGACAGAGTTCAAGCCCCATGACTGACAAAAAAAAAATGGACTTTTAGCTATTTTCATGTCTGTGAGCCTCTAGTTTTTGAACTATTAAATGTGTATGAGACTATAATGATGGTCAAATAAATGCTAAAGCCATCTACAAGTTTTAACAGACCATACAAACCAAAGCAATTATTCAAATTACTCAAAGAAATAGGATGAAGATTATTTTATAAGTTGAAAACCATAGTGTAGCTCAGTGATAATACATATGCAGAGACTGAGGTTCAGTTCCTTTCTTTCTGAAGGAAGGAAAGAAGGAAGGAAGGAAGGAAAGGAAGGAAGGAAGGAGGGAAGGAAGGAAGGGGGAGGGAGGGAGGGAGAGAGGGAAGGAAGAGAAGGATGGAAGAAAAAGATAGGAAGGAGGGAGAGTGGGAGGGATGGAAAGGAAAGGAGAGAGGGGAAGAAGGGAGAGAAAGGAGGGAGGGAAGAATGAAGGAGGGGAGAGAGGGAGGCAAGGACCAAGGCAGGCAGGGAGGAAGGGAGAGAAGAAGGGAAGGAGGGAGAAGGGAAGGAAGACAGACCACATGTTGTGTGGCAGAGAATACTGTTCAACATTACTTCATCATTTTGTCACCTCCTGATACTTCAACCATCATTTTGATGCTGCCAGCAAGAATGTTTGTAGCCCCAACTTCCTTTCTCTAGAACCCTGAATATTCATTCCTAGCTGGATACTGCACTTGCACCTTGAAATAAACATTCTGTGTCTGACAAGTCAGTCACCATTGGAGATGGTGACTTACTCCTGACCTGGGATCTCCATGAGGGACACTGCTGTTCTCCTTGTAATCCTGGGTTAAAACTTGTCATTCCTGCCTCATTCTTCTCTGCTTTTCATATCCAATAGTCACTATACAGCTGCTACATTCTTCCTTTGGAGAAACTGGCCTCTGCATTGTTTCTTCCCATTCCCATTGCTTAGCCTTGACCCAAGGCCCAAAAGTCTCCAGTCTGGCTGGCTCTGAGGAAGTCCTCCAAGCTCTTCCTGCTTCTTGTTTCCAAAAACACTTGGAAGCTAGGCAGCAGTGGCTCATGCCTATAATCCTAGCTACTCAGGAGGCTGAGAGCTGAGGATCTAGGATTGGAACCAGCTCAGTCAGGAGAAAGCCAGACTCTTGTCTCTAATTAACCACTAAAAAGGTGGAAGTGGAGCTGTGGCTTAAAATGATAAAGCACTAGCTTTGAGGAAAAGCTAAGGGGCAGCACCAAGGCCCTGAGTTCAAGTCCCAATACTGGCACAAACAAAACAAAACAACAAAAAACCTTGGCCTATTGGTATTGAAGGTCCCAACTTCTCAGTTTCATTTCCTATCTTTCTCCTATACACATGGCCCTAGGCTCCAAGCAAACTGAAAAATGGGGAACTAATAGTATTCTATATGTTCTACACTCATAGCTACCCCTTCACTACACTGCTCTAACCAGCCACAATGAAACCACTTACCTCCTCTCTGCCATGCTTACTGTCTCTGGGAATTATCCGCCTAGGAATTCACTTTCCTCTGGACATTTACTCTCCTCGCCACCCCCCCACCACCCCAGACCTGGGGCTTTAACTCAGGGCTTGAGCCCTGTCCCTGAGCTTCTTTGGCTCAAGGCTAGTATTCTTACCACTTGAGGCACAGCGCTATCCCAGATTTTTCTGTGTATGTGGTACTGAGGAATCCAACCCAGGGCTTCATGCAAGCACTCTACCACTAAGTCACGTTCCGAGCCCTGGACATTTATTCTTGTGTATATAAAAAATTAATTTCAGTTCTCCTCTTATCCAGAATTAAGATAGAATGAGTTATCTCTCCATCAGTTTTGTAAAATAACTAAAAGTACAGAGCCAAGTGTCAATGGCGCATGCCTGTAATACTAGCTACTCAGGAGAATAAGATCTGAGGATCTGATTCTTATTATCTTATGGATAATAAATGGATTTCACTGGACTGTTCTGAAAATGCAAATGAAATATTCTATGGAAAGTGTTTTCACACAGTATCTGAAAATATTCAATAAATCATAGCCATTTTTATTATAGCAAGTCAGGCAAGGTCTTGTGAAACAAGGCCAATAGTAACAAAGTTAAAAAAAAATCAAGTCTTAAATACAGAACCTAAAATATCTGTTATTCTCATTAAGATCTGGAAAGGCTAGTTCTACTTTAGACTCATAAATGCCCCTGGGATTCCTGTGTGGTGTACTCTTATCTAACCAGACACAGTTGATTAGCATCTTTCAGACTCACTGCCACATTTCTGAAAGCTACTATAGTTGAACAGGATTATTTTATGGAATACTGTCACTGAATGCTGTGAACAGCATCTGCATTGGCTTTTCAATTCTCTCTCTCTCTCTCTCTCTAGCTATATAAATATACACACACACATATATTTATTTTATTTACTTTTGTGCTAGTCCTGGGGCTCTAAACTCAGGTGTGTACTACCAGTGTCTGCCTATTTATTTTTAAATAATACTTGTTTTTGAAATATTTTTAAAGTAATTTTATTGTTATTATTAAGGTGCTGTACAGAGGAGTCAGGTACTCATTACTGAAGATCTATCTATGCCACTAACAGAATTGGCTCATCTGAAACAACCACATATACGATTCTTTTCCTTAACTTACAAAGAGGCCACTCCAACTTTCTTGCTTCTGATTACCTGCATTCACATAATTGTCTTCAGTGAGATGTTCCTACATTTTGGAGGTAGGTTTTTAGAATGAAATGAGAAAAGAACTCAGTGTAAAATGCACAGGTTAACCACTTGTGGATGCCACTATATAACAGATATCTACATAGTTTCTTTAAGAAAACTTTCTTTGAGAGATCTAGGAGCTAGTGGCTCACACCTGTAATCTTGGCTACTCAGAAGGCTGAGATCTGAGGATCGTGGTTCATAACCAGGCAGGGAAAGAAAGTCCATGAGATTCTTATCTCCAATTAACCAGCAAAAAGCTGGAAATGAAGCTGTATCTATAGCTTTAGCCTTGTGTAAAAAAAGCTCAGGGACAGTGTCCAGGCCCTGAGTTCAAGCCGTGATACATACATACACACACACACACACAGAGCTTGAAAATATACCCAAGGCACTAAAGGTATTGCCCATGTGGCCTCTGGATAACGAAATAGCTTCTTGAGAACAGGTCCTAAGTATCTCTCCCTTTCCACTTCTCTTCCTGTATGCTGAATCAGGCCTGACAGTCTCAAGTCTGGTTGGCTCAGTGCAGATATTCCAGGATGCCCTACTTCCTATCTCAGCTTTTCCAATTAGTTTCTGTGAAGGAAGAGTTTGATTCTAAGTGAGTAGATATCTAGAGAGCTGAAGTAAGGAAGCTGTGTTCAGAGAAGAGGGAGCAGGGATCAAGCTGGATACCTCATGGTTAAGTTATCCAGTCTCAAGTCTGCCCAGCTGGCTTCCTATGCAAACTGTCCCACAGCAGAAAGGACATGCTCATCATCTGTCACAGGATTCTGGTCCCTTCAGTATACTGTCCCAGCCATGAACCATAAACTGCATTTTGGCTTAGGTATCAACTTCTTCTGACTATAGTTAAAATAAAAAGGAGTTCCTATTTTGGGCCTACTCAAACTACTTTGCAATAACAAATAAATGTTCCACAGGAGAAGTGGGAGAAATAGCATGAAAGTCAGTGTTAAAAGAAGTGGGTATCAATAAGGTTTTATCAGCTTCAGACATTTGAGTAAAGTCCTTCACCTCCTATGCCTCGTTTCATTATTCATAGGTGAGTGTAACAAGGATTTCCTCTCATTAAGCTATTGTGTGATAAAACCTTACATGTGACAAGACATACACTAAATTATAGCTCTGTAGTGACCTACTTCTACCTAAAACAATGCTTGAGTGATGGCTAAGCCACCCTCCCTGACATAGTTTGACATGTTGTTTTTCTTATGTAAGATCAATACATTCTCAGCCAGGTACTCATGTCTCATGCTTGTCAGCTACTCAGGAGGCTGAGATCTGTGGATCATCAGAAAAGCCCATGAGACTCTTATTTCCAATTAACCTGCAAAAAGCTGGAAGTGGAGGTGTGGTAGAACACCAGTCTTGAGCAAAAAGCCAAGTTAGAGCATGAGGCCCTGAATTTAAGCCCCAAGTAGGGCAAGCGCGCATGTGCATGTGCAAAGACAACACACACACACACAAGCAAGACATCCTTACTGCAGAAAAATTGCAAAGTAAAACAAGTACAAAAAATTGGGGAAAAAGAAACTGCCCTCATCTTACCACTTACGGTAACCTCGCCAACACTTTGGTTATTTCCTTTCAGTTGTTTGCTGTGTATGTTGTATAGTACGTTTTTTGAATGTTTATAAAACACAGAAAAAGTGTAAAGAAAAATACATATAATTAATTCTATCACCCACACCTAATCAATTATAATTTTAATATATTCCCTTCAAAATTTAGGATTGAAGCCAGGCGCTGGTGGCTCACGCCTGTAATCCTAGCTACTCAGGAGGCTGAGATCTAAGGATCAAGGTTCAAAGCCAGACTGGGCAAGAAAGTCTGTGAAATTCTTACCTCGAATAAACCACCAGAAAACTGGAAGTGGCGCTGTAGCTCAAGTGGTAGAGTACTTGCCTTGAGCTGAAGAGCACAGGGACAGCACTCAGGCCCAGAGTTCAAGCCCCATGACCCACCCCACCCCCCAAAAAAAAATTAGGATTGAAGAAAATGACTAGGCTGAAATTTCTTTTTCAGTTTAATGTGATCGATTTCTATGTTGCATATTTCTTTTTCAATAAAATATTACTTACCGTTTTTACCATCTTTAAGAGTAATATTTCTGGTATAAAAGATGTTTAGTCTTCTTCCACTGCTGATTGAAAATGGAGAAAATTGATCTAGAAAAAATGGAAAATTCAACAACTAATTTACAGACATCACATCTACTAAATGTACACTTTACAAAAGAAAACATAAGTTCTGGGCCCCAAACTGGCAGCTCAAATGTGTTTTCTTTGTTCTCCCTATTGTGTTACATTTGCTTGTTTATTTTTTTGCTGATACTAGAGTCTGAACTCAGGACCTGGGCACTGTCTCTTAGCTCTCACTCAAGGCTGGTACTCTACCACTTGAACCACACTTTTGGCCTTTTGCTGGTTAATTGGAGATAAAAGTCTCATGGACTTTCTTGCTTGGGCTGGCTTTGAACTGCAGGCTTCAGATCTCAGCCTCCTTAGTAGCAAGAATTATAGGTGTGAGCCACAGGTGCCTAGCTGTGTTAAATTTAAATTATATACTTTCATTCTTATTTCAGAAACATATATATATATATATATATATATATAAAATCTTTCACCTTCTGTGGAAAAATTAGGTTATTTACAACTTAAAATCTTATCCTCTGGTGGCATAAACTATACTGAAGTCACCCTTTTTCTTTCTTTTTTTGTCCGGTCATGGGGCCTGAACTCTGGGCCTGGGCATTGTCCCTCAGCTCTTCAGCTCAAGGCTAATGCTCTACCACTTGAGCCACAGCGCCACTTCCGGCTTTTTTCTTTTTGCTTATGTGGTGCTGAGGAATTGAACCCAGGGCCTCAGGCATGCAAGGCAAGCGCTCTACCACTGAGCCAACTTCCCAGACCCTGAAGTCACCCTTTTTCATAAGGCAGATACGTTCAAGAATCCCCCAGCCCAAATCTCCACCACTATTTTTCTTACTTCTGGTCTCTTTTATTCTTTTGTGCTACTGGTCCATCTACTACAAGTGTTGAACAAAATCTAGGAGCATAACTAAACAAAAGCCACTTATTATGAAGCTTATAACTGTAGTACTTAAAAGTTTAAAAAGAAAGTTGGTAGCAAGAAATTCTAGAAATGTTGTTTCCTTATTTAAGAGGAATACATTCTCAGGCCCTGGTGGCTCATGCTTGTAATCCTAGCTATTCAGGAGACTGAGATTTGAGGATCATCAGAAAAGTCCATGAGACTATTATTTCCAATTAACCAGCAAAAATTGGAAGTGGAGGCACAGCTCAAGTGGTAGCACAGCTCAAGTGGTAGAACACCAATCTTCAGTGAAAAACTAAGGAACACCGTAAGGGGCACATTTGGATGCACGTCTACTTAAAGTAAAAGGACAAAAATGAGAAAAAGAGCACAGCTGGCACACTGGTGGCTCACAGTAGTAATCCTAACTACTCAGGAGGTTGAGATGTGAGGACTCCATTCACAGCCAACCCAGGCAGACAATTCCATGAAACTCATATGTAATTAAACAAAAAAAAAAAAGCTGGAAGGGGAGGTATAGCTCAAGTGGTAGAGCAGCAGCCTTGTGACAAGGTCAAGTGAGAGGTCAAGACCTTGAGTTCAAGGCTCAGTATTGACAGACACACAAAAAACAGTATTTATGGGGCTGGGAAGGTGGCTCAGTGGTAGAGCGCTTGCCTTGCATGCCTGAAGCCCTGGGTTCGATTCCTCAGCACCACATAAGCAAAAAGAAAAAAGCCGGAAGTGGCGCTGTGGCTCAAGTGGTAGAGTGCTCGCCTTGAGCTGAAGAGCTGAGGAACAGCGCCCAGGCCCAGAGTTCAGGCCCCACGACCGGACCCAAAAACAAACAAACAAACAAACAAAAAACAGTATTTATGCTATATCCATGATATGTGAAGAATTCTCTTTCACAGTTTAAAAACAGAGAAAAGAAGCTGAGCATCAATGATGCATGCCTGTAATCTTAGCTACTCAGGAAGCTGAGATCTGAGGATCTCAGTTCAAAGCCAGCCCAGGCAAGATAGTTCATGAGATGCTTATGAGAAATGTTAGTTGCCGACAGCAGAAGAGGGAGGCCAAAGTGGCCTGTGTGAAGAGAAGGCTGTTTAATGGTGTCTCACACAGTGTTCCAGGCAGCGAAAAGAGCAAAGCATTCTATACCTTGTGTCTGAAGTTTGAAAGCATCAGTCATAGCTTTCTCTTTGAGAATGAGGCCCAGAGCTGCCTGGCATAAAGACTCTTTGGCTGTAGCTCTCCCAGCAGGCAGCAAGTCCTTGTGGTGCTGGGTGATGAAATCAGTGTGCACATTCCCAGCTTCAAAGTCTGGGTGGCTGGACAGGCGGAGCAGGAAGTCAATGTTGGTACGCAGTCCGACAATCTGGGAAGAGAATTAAGTTCCAGTTCCTACTGAGTGTGGAAAACAACATATTCAAAAAGCTACCTGCTTTCTTCTTTTAAGTATGTTCTACTATACACGACTCATGATAAATGAAAAATCTACTGTTATTCCATGTAAAAGGCCATCCACTGTTTCTGTATGCAATACTGTATGCCTGGACTTTATGTGTGACACTCCCTTCCAATAAAAGGCAGTCATAAAGCTGGGCACTGGTGGCTCATGCCTGAAATCCTAGCTACTCAGGAGGCAGAGATCTGAGGTTCTTGGTTTGAAGACAAAAGCAGGAAGAGCCTGTGAGATTCTTATCTCCAATTAACCACAAAATGCCAGGAGTGGAGCTGAGGCTCAAGTAGTAGACCATTAGCCTTAAGCAAAAGAGCTCAGGAATAATGCTCAGGCTCAGAGTTCGACCCAGAGTTCAAGCCCCAGTACTGGCACAAAAAAAAGAGAGGGAGGGGAGAAAATGGTGTTACAGAAGGCAGTGTAAAACATTTAATTGAGTCAGGTTAGGGAAATGGTAAATGCCAAGAGAGATAAGTGAATTCATATTGAAGATTTGTAACTTAGAACACCATCGCAAAATAGGGTGATGACAAGGATCAGACTGGAGGCTACACTGAGGAAGAAATAAGATCAAAACACCTCAGAACTGCTTTCTGCTGGACATCTGTAGGTCAGCCTGAGATCTTAGCTACTGAGGATGTTCAGATCTGAGGATAGAGATTCAAAGCCAGCGTGGTCAGGAAAGTCCATGAGACTCTTATCTCCAATTAACCAGCAAAAAGCCAGAAATAGAGGTGTAGCTCAAGTGGTAGAGTGCCAGCCTTGAACAGAAAAGCTTAAGGACAATGCTCAGGCCCTGAGCTCAAACCCTAGAACTGGAATACACACACACACACACACACACACACACACACACACACACGCATAGTCTACTGGTTAAAAATATTAAAATTCAAATTTTATACATTGATATAAAAGAGCTTTATATTGACATAAAATTTTATATATCGATATAAAAAGAAAACAAATTAATCCAAATCCAGCCAATAAACAGGATCAGAGGTAAAAATAGCTATCTGAGGCTCAGGTTCATTCAGTCATCCACTTAGCCATACATTCATTCAATAGCCACTTACTGAGCACTTTGAGGTGTCAGTCTCTGATCTAGGTCTGGGGATAGTGAGGAATGAGCAGACAAGGACCCTGCCCTCTCAGCTTATATGCTAGGGAGACAGTATAAAGAATATCTCTAAGCAAACAATATAACATCACATTAATGAATAAAACTAGGCTGGCTAAGGCAACAGAGAACAGAAAAGGGTCCTATTTTAAATGGAGCAACTGGTGAGGACTCAGGAAGTAATCAGGGCTGAGGATGATCAACTGGGAGCCCTGAGATCATGAGGGGGAAACCATTCTGGAAGGAAGAATGGGACCCTAACTCCATGCCGGGTGCATCTGAGGAATGGCAAGGAGGCAGTGTGGTAGAGTTATAGAAATCATGGCTCTAACCATAAATTAATAACAAAGAGATAAATCTTCATTGCACTAAGGAAATGAATGTGCTGCCCCAAAATAACAAGCTGTTACAAAGATGAAACTAATCATAACTGTCTTTGGAGTAAAATTATCAGACTTAAGCAGCACTTGTACAGTTGATCTTATTTACAGAATAATGAGGGTGTCACTATAATATACTGATATTAATAATCTTGTTTCTGAATTTTCCTCTTCCAGCTGGAAGCTAGAAGTCATCAGACCCTCATCTGATCACGGGAAATCCTCTAAGGCAACATTATTGTGCTTGAGACACATAGGTAATTAGTGGAAATAGGCTGACAACATCAAGGTCTGCCAAGGGAAAGGATAAGTCTGATGTACACCAAGGGCACGCAGGTCATTTACATGGCCATAGATCACTCACATTGTATTGGAGAAGGCTGTACCTCAGTTTTGACAAGGCTGCCTGCCGATCAGCAGCCCAGACAACCAGCTTTGCAATCATGGGGTCATAATGCACTGAAACTTCATCTCCTGAAAGTGAGAAACACAGTAACCTCAGTCAAAACCTAAGGAGATGAAACATGACTGCCAATATACTCTGCTTATCACATGTCACAGTCGTCCTCAAAAACCCCTGAATTACCACTGTTAGATAAGTGAGGAAACTGAGGCTCAGAGGGGTTGTTAAAAGTACCTCAAATACTAATGAGGATGTGACCACTGAAAAGCCCCTGGCCCTAACATGGTAATTCAGTGCCATGCTGGCTGGCTTTCCCAATCCTACGTTTGTTTTAGTGTTTTGTTTTTGGTGCCCGTACTGAGACTTGAACTCAGGGCCTTCTGCTCTCATTCTTTTTGCTCAAAACTAGAACTCTACCACTTGAGCTATACCTCCATTTCCAACTTTTATTTTTATGCCAGTCCTGGACTTGAACTCTGGGCCTGGGCGCTGTCCCTCAGCTCTTCAGCTCAAGGCTAGCACTCTACCACTTGAGCCACAGTGCCACTTCTGGTTTTTTCAGTGGTTTATTGGAGACAAGAGTCTCATGGACTTTCCTGCCTGGTCTGGCTTTAAATCACGATCCTCAGAAATCAGTCTCCTAAGTAGCTAGGATTACAGGCATGAGCCACCAGTGCCCGGCTTTCCCTGAGCTTTTTTGCTCAAGGCTAGTCCTTTACTATTTGAGCCACAGTTCTACTCCTGGCTTTTTTTTTTTTCTGGTTAGTTGGAGAGAAGAATCTCATGGACTTTCCTGCCTGGGGTGGTTTTTAACCAGATCTTCAGATCTTAGCCTTTTTTTTTTTTTTTTTTTGGTTGGTTGTGGGGCTTGAGCTCTGGGCTTGGATGCTGTCCCTCAGTGCTTCAGCTCAAGGCAAGTACTCTACCGCTTGAGCTACAGCGCCACTTCCAGTTTTCTAGTGGCTTTATTGGAAAAAAGAGTCTCATGGACTTTCCTGGCTTTGAACCGTGATCCTCAGATCTCAGCCTCCTGAATGGCTGGGATTACAGGCATGAGCCACAGGCACCGGGTTCAGATCTCAGCCTTTTGAGTAGCCAGGATTACTGTTGTGAGCCACTGGTGCCTGGCTTCACTTCCAACTTTTTGCTTGCCATTTTGAAATAAAAGTCTCAACAGATATTTCTGCCTGCACTGGCTTTGAGCCATAATCCTCAGCTCTCAGACTCCTGAGTAGCTAGGATTACAGGCATGAGCTACTAATGTTGGGCTCATCCTATCTTTTTTTGAGCTTTCTTTTCCTTTCTCATTTTGAAAGTCGGGGCCAACTCCTATCATTGCATATTCTACTTCTTTCTGCTCTTAGCATTCCCCTCCCTCCACTCCTGAGTTTCCTCATCAATAAAGACAATAGTTTCTGCATCCTGCAGAGTTGTTGGGAAGAATGACTAGAAAGTACCAAGAGCTATATATAGCAGTAACCATCATTTAAGAATCTGAGTCATGTCACATTCTACTGGTTACAAACAGTGGAGCATCACCAGGAAGATTGTTTGAGGGACTTTTCATGATTGTGTCAGATCAATTGACCTCGCAGGACCAGAGGGTTCTCATCTCTAATATCAAGGAAATATAATACACTCTCATCAATTTTCCTGCCTATTCATCTATCAATACATCCTGAACACCTATTAGGCCTAGGCTTGAGCTACAGGTTGCAAATGCAACATGGAAGACAGTCTTCCTGAAGTGTCTAACAACCTAACAAGGAAATGACGTAAAAAAACCTGCAGGATGATGGCACTTTGCCTACAAAAGTCATTCAGGGCACACAGAAGAGGAGGCTGGGGGAATGTCTTTAACTCCTATGTCTGCTATCCTTTCACACTTTTGGGATGCTTTCCTTATCCTATAGAAAGAATGATATTAAATCATTTGCAAAGAAATGATGGACATGGGAAAAAATACGTTAAACAAAGTTAGTCAGGCCCAGAGAGACAAAGGACACATGTTTTCTCACATATGTGGAAGCTAGAACTAATTTATAAATGTACAAGTAAACAGACATATAAGAATATACAAGTGTACACAATGTATTGGCTTTAGTATGGTATTTGCAGGGGAGAATTCAAATGGTGCAATTCCTTAGAAAAACTCACAGTCCTGTTTCCTGAATATCAGGAAACTGGCACTTGCAAGGTGTTAGGTGGAAGTGAAAGGGAGGAGAGGAGACAAAGAGAGGATGGAGAATGAAGTCATAGTATTTAATTTATATCCTATGAAATTAAGAAAACTGAAGGGAGGGGTCAGGGTGGAAGGGAAAATGATAAAAGGGTGTCGTCAATCAAGATGCATTGGACTTATAAAAAATGATTTGTTGGGACTGGGAAGGTGGCTCAGTGGTAGAGCGCTTGCCTTGCATGCCTGAGGCCCTGGGTTCGATTCCTCAGCACCACATAAGCAAAAAGAAAAAAGCCAGAGTGGCGCTGTGGCTCAAGTGGTAGAGCGCTAGCCTTGAGCTGAAAAGCTGAGGGACAGCACCCAGGCCGAGAGTTCAGGCCCCACGACTGGACCCTCCCCCCCAAAAAAACAAAAAATGATTTGTTGAATGATGAATCCTTTGTACTAAAGATAATAAAAATATAATTCAAACCAGGTGCCCATGGCTCATGCCTATATTCCTAGCTATTCAGGAGGCTGAGATTTGAGAATCACAGGTCAAAGCCAGCCTGGGCAAGAAAGTCTGTGACATTCTTATCTTTAATTAACCACCAAAAATCTTCAAGTGCTGTAGCTCAAGTGGTAGCACTAGCCTTGAACAAAAAGCTCAGGGGCAGTATGCAGGCCCTAAATTCAATCCCCAGGACCAGCACAAAAAATTAAAAATTAAAAAAAGTTTTAAAAAAGGTTTTTGCTGTTCGACTGCAGTGTCGTTTTTTTCAAATAAAAGAAACTTGGCAGAGCTCTATAAGCAGACAGACACACAAGCAGACAAGCAAAAAGGCAGAGACACCCTAAGTACAGAGTGTTGGTGCTCTCAAAGGGATAGACCTGCAATGTCCTCTTTTGTTGCTTACATGCTATAAGGAGAAGTTAAAATGTTTCCCAACTACTAATCCTTCTGTAGCTTAGCCAGTGCCCTCAAAGTGCTGTTAATTTATTACTTACAAATGCTAATTCTGACTAAGTGCTAGTGGTTCATGTCTACCATCTAAGTACTCAGGAGGCTAAAATCTGGATGATTCCATTTTGAGGCTAGCCAGGACAGGAAAAGTTCACTAAACTCCATCTTCAAATTAACCAGCAAAAAGCCAGGCTGGAGATATGGCTCAAGTGGTAGACTATCAGTCTAGCAAGTGCAACGTCCTTAAGTTCAAACCCTACTATAAAAAAAAAGTCCTAATTCTTCATTTTGGTTTTCAAAAGTTTTTGCTGTAAAAATACTGTACAGAGGGGTTACAGTTACATGAGCAAGGTAATGAGTATATTTCTTATCAAGCATTGTTGCCTCCTCCTTTGTTTTTCCCCTACCATCCCTTCCCTCCCACCTCTACAGCTACACTTGCTCATGTAACTGTAACCCCTCTGTACAGTATTTTCACAATAAATTTTCACTTATTTAAAAAATAAAAAACCCAAATAAAACAGTTTTTAAAATATATAATTTGTCTTCAACCCGTGTCTCCAGCTATACACCTACCTTTTGTGTATGCGTGTGTGTGTGTGTGTGTGTGTGTGTGTGTGTGAGTGTATGTTGCCACTGTGGTTTGAACAAAGGGCTTTGAGTTCTTGCTTGGCTTTTATATTGAAGATTAGTGCTCTACCATTTGAGCCATAGAGCCACTTCTGGCTTTTTGGTGATTAACTGGAGATAAAAGTCTCTCCAGTTTATCTGTTCAAGCTGGCTTTGAGCTAGGATCCTCTAATCTCAGTCTCCAGAGTAGCAAGGACTACAGATGTGAGTCACCAGTGGCCAGGAGACTCTTTTCTTCAGTGTACACTGTCTCACAGTTCTTTAAGCTTTCTCTTTTCTTTGTTCTTCTAATGCTGTTAGATTTGCCTACTTACTCCATGCCAGACTTCCTCTTAAACTCCAGTCCTGATTATGTCAACGTTAACCTAACCGCTGATTGCTGAGGATGGTTGCATCCTATCACAGTGTGGCTACTGCCATCGAGTAGGCAGTAAACAACATGGCTCCAAGGATAACCTTGGCCAAATCACTTTACTCAGTATCCCGAAGCTGTTTACAAATAGTGTGCTTTCATGGTCTAAGAAACCTACATATAAAATTACCCACAGTAGTTACTTTATGTAGGAAGCATTAAGGAACTGTTAGCTAGGAATCACACACTAAGCTGGCACTTGCACTGCTATCTTTTCATGTAATCTATTTATTTTATCAGTTTACTTTATACTGAATTTATATCTTAATTCTTTGACTTTTAAAATCACTTTTAGTATTAGGCAACAAATATACACAAAACATTTCTTGATAAAATCTAACCAAGTACCTTGCATTTTAAAACAAGTTTGTATTATTTCAAATGGAAACATGTTTTTTGTTGTTGTTGTTGATGTTGTTGTTGGTGGTGGAAGTATTGTTTTTTGTTGTTGTTGTTGCTGATATTGCTTTTTGTCTTTTTATGTCATGGTATTCAGTATACACTATGTGGAAAATGAACTATGTAACTTTTGGGCAGAGATGGGAGGGGGAAACTAAGGGAAAGGGGAGGAAGTAGTGACACTGTCCAAAAAGAATTGTACTTATTACCTGATTTACAAAACAGTAAGTCATCTGTGCAATACCTTAATAATGACAGTAAGATTTATACACACACACACACACACACAGATAAATATATATGTGGCCGGGCACCTGTTTGTCACACCTGTAATACTAGCTACTCAGGAGGCTGAGATCTGAGGATGAGGGTTCAAAGCCAGCCTGGGCAGGCAAGTCCACAAGACTCTTATCTCTAATAACACACTAGAAAACCAGAAGTGGCACTGTGGTTCAGGTGGCTGAGTGCTTGTCTTGAGCTGAAAAGCTGAGGGACAGAGCCCCTGGCCAGAGTTCAAGCCCTACAACCAAAAACAAACAAACAAAAAAAACACCTAAAAAAATTCCAGAAGGAGCAGGGCACTGGTGGCTCATGCCTGTAATCTTAGCTACTCACTAGGCTACTCAATAATGGAGGATTATAATTCAAAGCCAGGAAAGTCTATTTCTAATTAATCAGCAAAATAACAGCTTGTATAACTCAAGTGCTAGAAAACCAGTTGTAAACAAGGAAAAAGAGTTCAAGGTTTTTAAGTTCAATCCCCACTACTCCCATGTCCCCCTGCCCCCATATCCAGAAGGAAAAAGGGTAAAAGTTTATGAGAATTCAATTGAATTCTCTAGTTTGCATTATTACAAAATAAATAATGCAATAAAGTAGGATATGGTCACACAAGTCTGTAGTTCCAGCTATTTAGAAGGCTGTGGCGGGAGGATCACTTGAGCTGGGTAACATAGTAAGACCTCGTCTCAAAGAAAAGTATTGAAAGTTTAACAAGAATGAGACTTTGTTTTATTTCACTTCACCTTGCCGCACTCCAGTTTCAATCCTAGTAGAAAGGTCTGGTTGAGGGGAAGACAGATGCACCAATGGGCCAGCCCCTGGCATGAAGTTGTTGTCAGGATCTTCTGCGTATATTCGAGCCTCAAAGGCATGACCTTGCAGAGGTATTTCTTCCTGGCTCAAAGGAATCTTCTCTCCTGCTGCAATCTGGCAATAGAAGAATGCTTCTTATAAAACCTAAAACAAGGCTGGGAAGGTGGCTTAGTGGTAGAGTGCTTGCCTTGTATGCAGGAGGCCCTGGGTTCAATTCCTCAGCACCACGTAAGTAGAAAACCTGGAAGTGGTGCTGTGGCTCAAGTGGTAGAGTGCCTGTCTTGAGCTGAAGAGCTGAAGGACAGCGGCCAGGCCCAGAGATCAGGCCCCACGACCGACAAAACAAACAAACCAAAACAACAACAAGAAAAAAAACCCTCACCACACAGCAGCTATGAGATTTAGACAGACAATGGTCTTGATTTTCCTATGGAAAATATACATTTGGATTTTGCAATGCTGCCAGATATGTGCCTTTACCTATCCACTGGAGTGGTAGGAAAAAAAAAACAAATTAAAAACACACAGCTTTGGAAGAGTCTGTTAGTTACAATAGATTTGTCAAGTCTTTTAATAGAGAAAAAGCAAATTCACAAACTGATGACTACTTTATAACTATAAAAATCAATGTTTGAGCTGGGAGCTGGAGGCTCATGCCTATAATCTTAGATTCTCAGGAGGCTGAGATCTGGGGAAGTGATTTGAAACCAGCCCATGCAGGAAAGTGCATCAGACTCTTATTTCTATTTTACCAGCAAAAAGTTAAGTCAGAAGTGGAGGTGTAGCTCAAATGGAGAGCACGAGCCTTGAGCAAAAAACTAAGGGACAGTACCCAAGCCCAAGTGCCAGTTCCAGTACTGGTACACACACAAGAAAATTCATATTTATTTAGCAAGAATGGAAACAAAAGTATCTTACTGGCAAGATATTCTTTTCACCTGAGATATTAGAACTCCATTCCCAAATTCAACATTTTTATAGTAAATTATTAGTTTGTGTTCAGTCATGGGGACGGTGGGCTGAACTTAACTATCCTATGGTGTTATTATCATCAGCAAGAGAGTGATAAAGCAACAGGAAAAGGGAAGTACACTACAGAGGAAAATGTCTCATCACTTTGCACATATAAATAGGAAATATCAAGAATCATAATAGGAACAAAATGAAAAGTAACTAAGATTTAAATGCCTCCTTGGCATGGTATTCTCAACCACACCCTCTACAGCCATATTGTCTGGTTCGATTTTGTTTCTATATCACAGAGCCAGGCAAACTTCTTCAGCTCTCCATGCTTTGAGGAAAGCACCTGCTGTAAGCAAGCACCATTGAAGCATGAGCTAATATCATTTCATCCCTATCTTTCACAATGCCTTTGGTGGTTTAACAGGTTTTTGTTGTTGTTGTTGTTGTTCAAGAGGGGAACTCAAACTTGGTACCTGACACTGGCTTCCTTGCACTCTACCAATTGAACCACACCTCCAATCTCAACAAGCAGTTTTGTGTGTTTAAATATTTTAAAAAATTGACCATGTACCATTTTGCAAAATATGATCTGACTTTTAATTACACAGACTCATTTACAATTGGCTTGGCTTGTCCTATATTCCTGAGTCAATCATGCCTGCAGTTGTTGGGATTCAGTACACTTGGGTTCTCTCAGGCTTAGATGCCAATTCACTGAAACCCTAACCTTGAACATCTTCCTAGCTTCTCAGGTCACAGCTAGCCATCTGCACCTGCAGCTGGAACCAATGCACACATCATTGAACCTTCTATCTAAGCTGTCTGGCTCTACAGGCGGGTCCTGGAGTACAAGCTCTTGACTCATCAAACAAGGAGGTCCCTTGCTTTTCCTGTGTCTGGAAAACACATTCCAAAGTGCTTTGAGCTCTAGGTACAGAAGCTTCCTTAACTTCTAGAATCTTTTCTTACATGATAAAAACTCCTTTTTCAAAAAAACAGTTGCTATAACCTACTTTTTTTTAATTATTCTTTCTCCTCTATCTTTCTCTCCCTCTCTCTCTGTCTCTCTGTCTCTCTGCCAGTTCTGGGGCTTTAACTCAGGGCCTAGGTACTGTCTCATGTTTTTCACTCAAGGCTGGCACTCTACCAGTTGAGCCACAGCTCCACTTCTGGCTGTTTTGGTGCTCAACTGGAGATAAGAATCTCATGGAGGGCTGGGAAGGTGGCTCAGTGGTAGAGTGCTTGCCTTGCAAGCCAGAGGCCCTGGGTTCGATTCCTCAGCACTACATAAGCAAAAAGAAAAAAGCCGGAGGTGGCGCTGTGGCTCAAGTGGCAGAGCGCTAGCCTTGAGCTGAAGAGCTGAGGGACAGCGCCCAGGCCTAGAGTTCAGGCCCCATGACCGGACCCCCCCCCCAAAAAAAAAAGAATCTCATGGATTTTCCTTTTCTGTGCTGGCTTTGAACTTTTTTTTTTTTTAAGGTTAAGTAATGTGCATCTTTCTTTTTTTTCTTTTTTTATTGTGAAAATACTGTACGGAGAGGTTACAATTACATGGGCAAGATAATGAATACATTTCTTATTAAGCGTTGTAGCCTCCTTCCTTTGTTTCCCCTTCCCATCACTTCCCATCCACCCCCCAACCCCTCTGAACTTCAATCTATAGATCTCAGTCACCTCAGTAGCTAGAATTACAGGTGTGAGCTGGTGTAATTTTTTGAGTTCCAGGGGAAAAAAGTCTGCTGTTTTTGCCTTTTTATTCGGTGGTACTAGAGTTTGAAATCAGGGTCTCAAGATTGCTGGGCATGCCTTCAAACCGACCCTTGTGATCTGTGAGGCCTCCATTACCATCTATGAGCTGGGATGACACCAATCTACTCAACTTCAGCAACTTTCATTAGCTCCCGAAGTTACAGAAACCTAGAAGAATCTTTTGGTTCAATTAAAAACGCCAATCACTCACTAAAGGAACATCAGATTGTCCACAGAAGTTCAGAAAAGACAAAATTCTTGAAATAAAACTTCAAGCTGGGCATAAGTGGCTATACCTGTAATCCTAGCTACTCAGGAGTCTGAGATCTGAAGAGCATGGTTCAAAGCCAGCCCAAGCAGGAAGGTCTGTGAGACTCTCATCTCCAATAAGCCACCAAAACAGTCAGAAGTGGAGCTGTGCTTCAGGTGGTAGAGCACAAAAATGTGAGCACAAAATCCTTGACTACAAAAGCTCTGGGACAGTGCCTAGGCCCTGAGTTCAAGCTCCAGTACTGCAAGAATTAAAAAAAAAAGAGTCAAATTATGGTATGGCTTATAACACTTTGGTCTTAAGGCTTAGTCTCAAAATCATGCATTAGACAAGTGTTGGCAGTGGTGGTTCACCTGCTGGCTGCCCAGTGCCTATGGGGAACTGAAGGTAAGTGATAAATGAGAAATCAGAGACCCTAAAGTGCCATTAATGTCAGCATCCAATGTAAGCTCTATTTTTCACTCTTATTTCCCGGTTTCCTTTACAACCATTAAAAAATGATTCCTGTCCAAATGATTCTTGACATGTCTCTTAAAAGGAGACCAGAAGGTAACATAAAAAAATAAAATAAAGGAAAAAAAAATACTTCATCAACCGATGAAGCATTCTCACCCTGAGCTGCCATTCCACCAAGTCTGTTCCTGTGATCATCTCAGTAACAGGGTGTTCTACCTGCAGCCTTGTATTCATCTCCATGAAGAAGAAATTGTGCTTTGCATCCATAATAAACTCCACAGTTCCTAAAAGACAAAATACCATGGTCAAGTAGGGCACCTCGGGCTCATATCTGTAATCCTAGCTACTCAGGAGGCTGAGATCTGAGGAGCATGGTTTGAAGCCAGCCTGGAGCAATCCTTGAGACTTTAATCTCCAATTAATCAGCAAAAAGGAGGAGGTACCGCTTAAGTGGACCAGCCTTGAGTGAAAAAATCTAATAGACAGGATTTGGGCCCTGAGTTTAAGCCCCAGAACTGGCAGAGGAAAAACAAATAGAATGGACACATTTCAATTGCACATAATCAGTATCAAGTCAAGGTCTTTCACAGTATAGAATATTGAGTACTACTGCTGGGTTCACTTAATGCTAAACATTTTGCATTTCATAAGGAAAGCATCTCACATTTTCCAGCAGTAAATGAGTATCAATTCAAAATAGGGAGCTGCCTGAGAATTAGCAATGGAATAGTATATTTGGGGTTGTGAGCAGATGGGAAGCCCAAATTATGAGTAGAAAGCCTTGACTAGAAAAGGCTGAGAACGCTCTTTTCCTCCCTGGCTGTCTGAAGGTCTGCCGCCTTCATGAATGACACAGTAACTATCTGGACCAGGAAGTTTATGACCAACCGACTACTTCAGAGGAAGCAGATGGTCATTGATGTCCTTCACCCTGGAAAGGCAACAGTACCTAAGACAGAAATTTGGGAAAAACTTGCCAAAATGTACAAGACCACACCCGATGTCATCTTTGTATTTGTATTCAGAACCCATTTTGGTGGTGGCAAAACAACTGGCTTTGGCATGATTTATGACTCTTTGGATTATGCAAAGAAAAATGAGCCCAAACACAGACTTGCAAGACATGCCTGTATGAAAAGAAGAAGACTTCGAGGAACAGTGAAAGGAATGCAAAAACAGAATGAAGGAAGTCAGAGGGACTGCAAAGGCCAATGTTGGAGCTGGCAAGAAGCCAAAGGAATAAAGATCCCGCATTGACTTGACCTGCAGCGGTGATGAATTTTTCACAAAGGGATTAATAAACTGTAAAAATCAAAAAAAAAAAAGAAGAAAAGGCTGAGAACATGAGTCCCTGATACTCTAATATCATGACCCAGTACACACGCACGGTGTGCACGCATGCACGCAAGCATGCGCACGCACACACACACACACACACACCAGCATTAACAACAATGAAAAATTATAATTTTTCCTCTAGCTTTTTTTTCCCATGGGGCTAGAGATAAAACCTAGAACCTCAAGCATATTTAGGCAAGTGTCTCCTAGCTTGGTTAAGGTTTAATTTTAGAAAATAAACGTTAATTATTTTAAGTGTAAATGTGTTGGTTTTGTCAGTTTATGTAATTAGTATACCTGTCTTGCAAAACACATTAAGTTCTTCAGAGAGAAGATAAATGAAAGAGCTCAGCACTCGAGAGTGAGAGCACTGGAGCATGAATCAAGTGAATGTTAAAGAAAATCTTAATTTTCTTATTCTTGACTGACTTAACAAAAGACAATAGCTTATGTATACCTTCATATATATGCTTATGTATGAGATTCATGATGACAATAACAGAAAGAATAAGAGGAAAAGTTAAAGCTCTTTGTTTTTGGTGCCATACTAAGGCTGAACGCAGGTTCTTGTACTCATTTGGCTTTTTCTCTCAAGGCTGGGCACTTTGCCACTTGAGTCACACCTCTACCTCTAGCTTCTACTCTGGAGATAAGAGTCTCATATACTTGCCTGCCCAGGCTGGCTTTGCACCTTGAGTCTCACATCACAGCCTCCTGAGTTATTAGTGCCCATCTCTCCCTGAGCCTATCTGGGGGGAAGGGAGATAGTTATACATTCTTCTTCTTATTAAAAAATATACCTGGCACCAGTGGCTCATACCACTAACTACTCAGGAGGCTGAGATGTGAGGACTGTGGTTCAAAGCAGGGTGGAGCAGAAAGTCCATGAGACTCTTATCTCCAATTAACCAAAAATCTGGAAGTGGACCTGTAGCTCAAGTGGTAGGGTGCTAGCATTGAGCCCAAAAGCCCAGACCATGAGTTCAAGCCCAATATTTGGCACAAAAGGAAGGAAAGAAAGAAAGAAAGAAAGAAAGAAAGAAAGAAAGAAAGAAAGAAAGAAAGAAAGAAAGGAAGGAAGGAAGGAAGGGTGAGAAAGAAAGAAAGAAGGAAAGAAAGAAAGGAAGGAAGGAAGGAAGGAAGAGAAAGAAAGAGTGAGAAAAAGAAAGAAAGGAAAGAAAGAAAGAAAAAAGAAAGGAAAGAAAGAAAGAAGTGAGAAAGAAAGAAATTCAGTTCTATGACTGTCAGGAAATCCAGGCTCTGAAAGTTAACCATGATCTATTCAATTTTCTGGTCATAGCACTGTCATTGCTTCTGACCTCATTCGAAGCCTTAGACATATGAGGCTTTGTCCTTGCCCTTCTACTTCTGGAAAAAGATATATTTGAAGGAGAAATTTTCAGAGAAGACAATGACTCTGTCTTCCTAAAAGATAAAACCTTCACTTTTCTTTATGAGGAAAATAGCAACCCCAAACCACAGGCAGGTTGGGGCCTGCGCAAACCTCAGTTTAAAAAAAAAAGTTATTTCTTGTTTTAAAAAATATTAATTTTGTTTTCTTTTTTCCTTTCAAATTTTTTATTATTGTTGTTGGTTGTGGGGCTAGGTACTATGCCTGAGCTCTTTTGCACGAGGCTAATACTCTACCATTTTGAGCCACAGCTCTATTTCTGGTTTTCTGGTGGTTCATTGGAGATAAGAGTCTCACAGACTTTCCTGTTGGGACTGGCAGCGATCCTCAGGTCTCAAGCCTCCTGAGTAGACAGGATTATAGGCAGAACTACCAGTATCCAGTCTTCCTTTTCCATGATTTCCCTCATTTGTACTAATTAGTATATGTCTAGGATAGTCCCAGTAGAGGATCACAATAGCTTAGTAGCTATGTACATATGACCATATAAACTGATGCTAATTGAAATGAACTCCAAGATATGGACACAAGAGGGTTTTTTGTTTGTGTTTTTTTAATGTACTATATGAAGTTCTTTGTTTTTTCTTTCCTTTTTCCCCCTTTAGTTTATCCTCTGTTGCCATTGTTTTTAATTTTGTGTCTTTATCTGATTTGAGAAGGGAAGAGGAATAACAAAATGGTGAGACAGAGGACAAAGGGTGAACTAATGCAATAGTGATGCTCATAAGACACTATGTTGGAAATGAACTTTACAACTTGGGGGGAGGGGAGTTGAGGGGAGGGAAAGTGGGAGAAAAATGAGGGAGGGGGGGTAACCATGTCCAACAAGAAATGTACTCATTACCTTACTTATGTAACTGTAACTCCTCTGTATATCACCTTTACAATAAACAAAATAAAAAACACCACAAAAACAAAAAACTTTTAAGCGGATTTTTTTTATCTTTTTCTTTCTCACTTTTCCCTTATTGTTATTTATTTATTTATTTTTGCAGTGCTGGGGATGGAACCCAAAGCCTTGTACATGCTAGGAAGGTGCTACCACTGAGCTATATCCCAGCCCTTGATTTAATTTATCTTATCTTTAATTGGATCTCTACTTTCCTTTAACTACTTTAAAAATTATCTCCTACCCTTCTCTCTCTCTCCCTGTGGGTTATGGGGCTTGAACTCAGGGCCTGGGTGCTATCCTTGAACTCTTTTGCTCAAGGCTAGTGCTCTTCCATTTTACGTCACGGCTCCACTTTTTGATTGGTTAATTGGAGATAAGTGTCTTATGGGGACTTTCCTGCTCCAGCTGGCTTCGAATGGCAACCCTCAGATCTCAGCCTCCTGAGGAGCTAGGATTACAGGTGTGAGCCACCAGTGCCCAGATTCTTGTGTGCGTGTGTGTGTGCGCGCGCGCATGCACACCAGTACCAGGCTTGAACTAGGGCCATATGTTTTTATTCAGCTTTCTTGCTCATAGCTAACACTACCACTTAAGACATGCCTCTGTCCAGCATTTTTCTATTAATTGGAGATGAACTCTTATACTCTTCTGCCTGGGCTGGCTTCGAATCTCAATTCTACAGGTCTTAGTCTCCTGATATGAACCACCATGAAAAAAATAAGAACTTTTAGGGAAGAATAGGGGACCAGTGGAAAGGAGGAGTGAAAGGAGGGCAGGAAAGGGCAGAGGGGAGGGTGCAAGATCAAAGCACAAAATATGCATATATGGAAATTTACAGTGAAACCACTAGTCTGAAAAATTAATATAATTTAATAATTACAATTAAAATATAGGCAACATATAGTATCTATTCTTGGAACACACAGAAGTCAGTAACAGAAGGATATCTGAAAAACCAGTATCAAGAAAAATTTTACAGGCTGAGAATGTGGCTTAGTACCTTAGTACCTTAGTAGTGCCCGCCTAGAATACATGAAGCTCTGGGTTCGATTCCTCAGTACCACATACACAGAAAAAGCCAGAAGTGGCGCTGTGGCTCAAGTGGTAAGAGTGTTAGCCTTGAGCGGTGCCCAGGCCCTGAGTTCAAGCCCCAAGATTGGTTAAAAAAAAGAAAAATTTTACAATATTTTTAAACTAAATGAAATTGAAAATACAACATCAAACGCTTGTGAGATGCAGCAAAACCAATGTCTAGAGGGAAATTCACAGACCTAAATAAATATATTGGGAAAGAAGAAAAGACTTAAAATCAGTAAGCCAACCTTCCAACAAAGAATATTAGAAAAATAATAGCAAATTAAATCCAAAGTAAGCAAAGAATAAAAATTTTAAAATAGAAGAAAAAACCCAATGCAATTGAAAATATAAAATTAGTAGAGAAAGTCAATAAACCCCAAACTAGTTCCTTGAAAAGGAACTGGGTTGACCTCAAACTGCTATCCTCAGATCACAAGCCTCCTGAATAGCTAGGATTTCTGGCAATAGCCACTGGAGCCTGGCTTGTAATTGGTCTTAACATAAAATTTATTTCTTATTGTGAGTATGGTTAAAAGGTTGAACACTATTGATTATATATGTATCTTTTAACTTCTGAAACAAAGATAAATTGTTTTCTTCTCTTGTGTTAGAAGTGAAACTTAGCATACCTGCTCCAACATAGTTTACAGCTTTCGCAGCTCTGACTGCAGCTTCTCCTAGCTTTCTTCTTACTTCAGGTTTAATACCAGGCTAGGAAAAAGGATTAAAACACATCTGCATTACTACTTTGATTTGCTGAGATTTCCATATAATGTAATATTATATTTTTATTTAGCAAACAACTGTGGGGAAAAAAAAGCATTAGCAGGCATGGTACTCAGGAGACACTATGTGGGAAATGAACTACACAATTCGTTGGCAGGGACAGGAGTGGGAAATGGGGCGAGAGTAAAAGAAAAGGATGACATTGTCCAAAAGGAATGTACTCATTATCTGACTTACGAAGCAATAACCCTTCTGTATGAAGCCTTAATAACAACTACACATATATTTTAAAGATAAGAATTATAGCTAGTAGGAGGTTGAGATCTGACGACTGTAGTTTGAATCCAGATGGGTAAGAAAATCCCTGAGACTCATATCTCCACTTAACTACCAGAAACCCAGAAGTGGAAAGGTAGCTCAAAGTGGTAAAGCATTAACGTTGAGCAAAAAGATCAGGGTCAGTGCCCAGGCCCTAAGTTCAAGCCCCATGACCAACAAAAATGAAAACAAAACAGATAAGGATTAAAAAGCTAAGGTTAATTACTCCAGTAAGAAATACTGTTCTGTAACTTAACTTTCAATATCACAAAGTTTAATGTTTTAATGTCTGTGTTTCAGATACTACTTGGTATATAATTACATCCTTATCCTTTGTGTCTAGTTAGCAACTTTCATAACTATATTAAAAATACAATAATCAGTAGGAAACTTTCACTGGTCTCTATTTTCCTTCCGGATGATATAGCAACTAATGACTTTCTAGAACAAAGGATTTCTTGAGCTTTCATGTTAAGAAGTAAGGCTCATAAAAAGAAGTATGTGTCAATCAGTAAAAATTTTAGCATTTTAAAAGAAAGCTCAAGAGATAAATATTTAAGCAATGACTGTTTATTGAAGAATTAGCATTTACCAGTTGCTGGTAGCTCACATCTATAAACCTAGTTACTCAGGAGGCTGAGATCTGAGGATCACAGTTCAAAGCCAGCCAGGGCAGGTAAGTCATGAGATTCTAATCTCCAATAATCTCTCAGAAAAAGCCAGAAGTGGCTCTTGAAAGCGGTAGAGTGCTAGTCTTGAGCACAAAGAGGCTCAGGGACAAGCCCAGGCCCTAAGTTCAAGCCCCAGGACCGGCAAAAAGAAATAGAGATTCAAAAAAAGGACAAGACTATCTAAAATAATTAAAAAGGTTCAAAGAGACATAAACCATTAAAGTTAAAGTGCCAAAGAAGAGTGACTCTCTTCCACAGAAATGACCCAAGGCAGGAAGATATCTAATGCATTGTAGAAACACCAGAAACAGTTAGTAAAAACAAGTTTTTGCTATTAAAAAATACATCCAGGGCTGGGAAGATGGCTCAGTGGTAGAGTGCTTGCCTTGCATGCATGAGGCCCTGGATTCGATTTCTTAGCACCACATAAGCAGAAAAAGCTGGAAGTGGCGCTATGGCTCAAATGGTAGAGCTCTAACCTTGAGCTGAAGAGCTGAGGGACAGTGCCAGGCCCAGAGTTCAGGCCCCACAACCAACAAAAAAAACAAAACAAAACAAAACAAAAAAAACCCTTCCAATTAATCCGATCATTCTTGTTCCACTCCTGCAACTAATTCCAGTGAATTATAATTGAAAATGGGCAAGGAAACCTCACAACCCAGCTGGTAACTCTTCAGCTGACAGATTAGAGTAGATTTTCTGAGATTGTTTTTTTCTGGAAGGAACATGGCCCTTATGTGCCTGGCCTTGGAGCATCGACAAGCTCCAGATCCCCAGCCCTGAAGCAAGGTCTTGTGGTTACACTGCTGCTAGGAAGCTGGTATCCAACAGGACTTTGAGGGGTAGGAGACACTTCTTAGACAGATGGGAACCAGGTGTGCATTCCAGAGAAGTTCAGAACACTTCCTATGTGGATCCTTACCGCTGGGGCCTCCTCAATGATCTTCTGATGTCGCCTCTGCACGCTACAGTCTCTTTCAAACAAGTACACTGCATTGCCATGGTGATCACCAAACACCTGGACTTCCACATGCCTATTTAAAAGCAAACACATTGGTTAAGGGTGATAAATGTCACATTCCAAATGGTTGGCTCTAATCAGGATTCCCCCATTTTCATTTTTCTCTCTCTTTTTTTTTTTTTTAGACCTGGTATTTTGACTTCAAAATAGAAGTTATAGATTTAGAAACAGAACCATATTCTTGTCAAATCTCAAAGTAAAAGTTTTCATTTGTACAACAGATATTTGAGAGGAAAAAAATTATATATCTGAAAGATTTGGAAAACTAAAGACTGAAAATACAGAAAACTCAAAATATAAAATTCACATTGTTAAGGGAAAGACTGGCAAATCTGACTACATAAAAGTTACAAGTTACAGTTATCTTTCATATGATCACTTTATAACTTTATAAGCAGACTTAAAAAATTTTTTTATATCAGATGTTTATTTATTTAACAAGTCCTGGGGCTTGAACTCAGGGCCTGGGCACTGTCCCTGAGCTTCTTTTGCTCAAGGCTAGCACTTTACCAGTTGTGCCGCAGCACCAATTCTAGCCTTTTCTGTTTATATGGTACTGAGGAACCAAACCCAGGGTTTTATGTATGCTAGGCAAGCACTCTACCACTAAGCCACATTCCCAGCCCCTATATCAGACTTTATAAACCATGGAAAACTGTAATCAAAATATCTCATCCACAAAAAAACTAAGAAATAGGGGCTGGGAAGATGGCTCAGTGGTAGAGCGCTTGCCTTGCATGCCTGAGGCCCTGGGTTCGATTCCTCAGCACCAAATAAGCAAAAAGAAAAAAGCTGGAGTGGCGCTGTGGCTCAAGTGGTAGAGTGGTAGCCTTGAGCTGAAGAGCTGAGGGACAGCGCCCAGGCCCAGAGTTCGGCCCCACATCCGGACCCAAAAACAAACAAACAAAAAAACCCTAAGAAATAAATTAAGTGATGCATCAGATAAATAAATATAGACTACTTAGTATTTTAAGAATATGCTTAACCCGGCCATATGACTTCACTATCACTTTAAGGGGTTAGATTTGAACATACGACTTTTGGAAAGACCCAAGCGTTCAGGCCACAGGCCACGGCAGTAGGGTGGAGGGGAGTAAAGCAGCCTTATTATAAGGTCAGATTAAATCGTAGTCTTCTTGTGGGCCTGTGCTTGAACTATAACCTTCAGTAGTGTCTCTTAATTTTGTTCATTTTCTCTCTTCAGTGAGCCAGGAAACATAGAGGCGGTTACAGCTAGCTAACTTCCTCCAGGGACAGAAAGGGCTTTGGCAGTTTCTCAGGGAATTAGGACTTGGTGGTCCTTTTGCTAAGAAGAACAGAATGTTCTGAGTCTATTGCAAAGCAATTACTTTCCTTTTCATGGATACACCTTGTGAGAATCTACAGGGGCTTCTGGAGGCAAGACACCACTAAGGAGAGTGAGCCAGCCCAGGATGAGTTAGCTGGATTACGTGTGAGCCATCAGCGCCCAGCTCCATGTCTACATTTGATAGAACACACAAATACATTGCTTTTGTCATTTAGTTTAAAACTCAAGAGTCAGGACAAAAGCTGTCTACCTTGGTGTGTCCACAAACTTCTCAATGAGCATGGCATCATCATTGAAAGACTTCTTTGCTTCTCTCCGAGCCGATTCTAATTGCTCTTGAAATTCTTTTTCCGATCGAACGATCCTCATGCCCTAGGAGAGATAGGATGGCTATGACTGCAAGATAAATAAAGCAAAGATGACTTGGCTGAATTTGCAAAGGCAAATACCCAGTGCTCACCTTTCCCCCTCCGCCTCGGACGGCTTTAATCATGACTGGATAACCAATTCTCCCAGCGTGCTCCTTCAGGCACTGGGTGGACTGGTCCTCGCCGTGGTACCCTTCAATAACAGGCACTCCAGCAGCAGCCATGATGGATTTGGATGTACTGTGGAGTGAAAACACCAAGACGCCTGATTTATGAATTCTTTCATAGAGGGGAAACACAGATATAGCCTAGTCCACAAATTACAATGAATTCTAAAGAAACTATCCCATACACACAAATAATATTAACATATAATGATATTAACATATAATACATATAATATATAATAAATATTAATATACATACTAACTTGCTTGTTGCTTTTTCTCACATAATATGGCAGCCCATCCCACCTTTTACTCAGTGTACAGATTAGAATCCCTAATTGAATATTTTCTGTAACTCAGTGGAGTTTTCTTACATGGGCAGGTAAGTCACTTATATCCATGGCAACAAAATAGTATGATTAAATTGCCCACTGTAGGTAAAAAAAAAGATCTGTATCAAATAACCTTTGTGTAGTCTATTTAGAAAGATATGAACTCATACCTCTTTATACCCATGTCTCTAATTGCAGAAGAAGGAGGACCTACAAAGATAATCCCTTCTTGCTTACAAAGTTCAGCAAATTCCATGTTTTCTGAAAGAAACCCATATCCTGGATGGATAGCCTAGAGTGAAAAATAAAATGACACCCTTGTTAGTTCTCAATTGGCTGGGCTTGGAGACATTGCCTAAACCAGAAGAAGAATCTTTTCTTTTGAGATGCTGGGAAATCAAGCTCAGGGCCTTTGCACAGGCTAGGCAAGTGTGCTACCACTGAGCTACATTCCCTGTTCTGTATTTCTTTTTGCTGTTGTAAGATATATATATAACTTAAAATTTACCTCTTGACCTTTTCTCTCCAGTACCAAGGTTTGAACTCAGAGTCTCCAGCTTTTGTTTGGCTTGCTTGCTGTCTCATAGCTGGCATTTAGGCCATGCCTCTAGCCAACTTTTGGCTAATTGTTTTGGAGATGGGGTCTCTGACTTTTCCGTTCTAGCTGGCCTTGACCTACAATCCTCTAGATCTTAGCTTCCTGAGCAGCTAGGATTATAGATATGAGCCACTAGTGCCCAGTAACACTTCAACCCCTTTGAAGTACATAATTCAGTGGCATGGAGTACATTCACATTGCTGTACAGTCATTACCACCATTCATCTCCAGAACATTTTCATCATCCCAAACAACTCCCACTTCCTTTTCTCTCTAGTCCCTGGCAATCTCTATTTTATTTCACACCTCTGTGAACTTGCCTAGTCTGAGCACCTCATATAAATGGAATTATACAATATTTGTTCTTGTGGATTTGGCTAATTTCACTAAGCCTAATGTTTCCAAAGTTCATCCATGTTGTAGCAGGTATCAGAATTTTATTCCTTTTTAAAGCTGAATAATATTTCACTGAATGTATGTAATCTACATTTAGTTTATCCATTCATCTGCTGATAGACATCTGAGTGACTCCTATATTTTACCTACTGTGAGTAATGTTGTGATGGACAGTGGGACACAAGTATCTGACTCCCTGGTTTAAATTCTTTTAGATACGTAACTAGAAATGAAACTACTGGGTCACACGATCATATGGTAATCTACAGCAACTCTGTACTTTAATTAAAATAATACTGCTATTAGGGAAGAATGCCAAAGAGTAAGGGTTTCAGAGTGATAAGGGTGATGTGTGTGCTCTGTCTCTGTGTAAAACTAGCCTGAAAGTGAAACCATAATATCTAAAAGCTGGAAAGAGCCCACTGGGGCAATAATATGCTATTATCTTCAAGCCACAACCTATGGTTATCTGTCTAGAACATAGCCAAGAAGCAAATACAATAAATCATATATTACATCACACATACACATACACAGAGCGGGGAGAGAGAAAGAGAGGGCGGGCTTAGTGAAAGAGGAACCTAGTTGGCTCTAATTTACTCAGAATTTTAACAAATTTTAACAAATCTGCTTATCTGGCTCTGAAGGGAAATCAGAAACTGAAGAAGAGCAACATTTGAAAGAGTAAACACACCAATAACAATCACTGATTTAGCCAAAGAAAGAAAGAGGGGGCAGAAATGGCTTCCATACTTTAATAAAGGATAAAAATTGGTTCTTTTAAAATAATAAGTGTATTATAATAAGCAGAATACAAAAAGAGAGTAAAGCTTAGCCAACAGTTAAGTTCAAAGAACATTTCCAAATTAAAGGGGTAAGCTTCAGAAATCTGGTGAACTCATGAACAGCACAACACATAGCATTTTTTATGTGTGTAATTGTACAAGGAGGGAGTACCATATTCCCTTGTGCAAGACCTTCTTTTAACTTGGTTTACCCCCTCTATGGTTCTCTTCCCTCTCTCCCTATTGTTCAACAACATTCACTCAGTTCCCTTACGTTATCTTCACAGAGGCATTGTATTTCAGTATTATTTATCTTCCTTCATTCTCCTTTCCTCTCCTTCTACCCTCTTGTTCCCCAAACTGTCCCACAGTTTCCATTACGTTCTATTACATACATAAATATGCATATGTATATATGTTTGTGTAAATCAGTGAATAAGTCTATCTTCAATAATAGCAAAAAAATTGCAGTATTTGCCTTTCTGGGCTTGGTTTATCTTGTTCAACACAATCTCCAAGCCACATGCTGGTGGCTCAAACCTGTAATCCTAGCTATTCAGAAGGCTAATATTGGAAGTTTGTGGTTCAAAGTTAGCCTGGGCAGAAAAGCCCTGAAGACTCTTATCTACTATTAACTAGCAAAAATCTGGAAGTGGAGCTGTGGCTCAAGTGGTAAGAGTGCCAGCCCTGAGTGAAAAACTCAAATGAGAACAAAGCCCGAGTTCAAGTCCCAGAACTGGCACAAAAAAGCAAAGTAAACAAAAGACAAGATCTACATACAGTTCCATCCATTTTCCTGCAAATAACACCTTTTGGCGGGTGTGGGACCCACAGCGATGAGGGAGGACTAATAGGAAGGGTGAATAAGGATAAATATAGTTGAAGTATTTTATATGCATGTATGAAAATAATAAAACTTGTTGAAATTATTGTAAGAAGGGCAGTGGGGAGAGGGTAGGAGTGAATTACATCAGGGTACATTGTGTACATAGATGGAAGATGAACTCCCCTTGTACTACTAATATTGTCAAATAAAAAAATGTAAAAAGAGCCAGGCACTAGTGGCTCATGATTGTAATCCTAGCTGCTCAGAGGCTGAGATCTGAGGATCCTAGTTCTAGCCAGGCAGGAAAGTCTGTGAGACTCTTATCTCCCATTAATCACAGAAACACCCAGTAGTAGAGCTGTGGCTCAAGTGGTAGAGCACTAGCTTTGAGCACAAAAGAAAGTTTAGTGACAGCACTCAGGCCATGAGTTCAAGCCTCAGAACCTGAGTTCTGAGTAAAATGAAACCTGAATATATCTTAACAGAAAAGAAAAGAAAGAGGTCGGGCATTGGTGGCTCATACCTATAATCCTAGCTACTCAGGAGGCTGAGATCTGAGGATCATGGTTCAAACCCAGCCCAGGCAGGAAAGTCCGTGAGATTCTCATCTCCAATAAACCACTCAGAAAACCGGAAGTGGCACTGTGGCTCAAGTGGTGGAGCCCTGATCTAAAGAGCTGAGGGATAGTGCCCAGGCCCAGAGTTCAAGCCCCATGACTGACAAAAAAAGAAAAGAAAGAACAGAAAGAACAGGAGCATAGCTCAAGTGGTAGAGTGCCTTCCTAGCAAGTAGGATCCTTTGAGTTCAAATCCTAGTACTAAAAAAAAAAGGAAAAGGAAAAAGAAACCTACATTCCAATGACAATAAAAACAAACAAATTAATTCAGATTAAAACTTCACATTTTGCTGTTGAGGTTTCAACTTTTTTACTTTTATATAGAATGGTCAAATATTTATGTTGGGAAAGTAAAATAGGTCTACACTGTCCTCCCTGGTCATGTTTCATTTTCTGTCTCTTTGAAAAATGATTCACCAATTTGTAAGTTGATAAATTTAGTAAATTCATAAAACTCTGCAACCATCACTATAATCAAGTTTTAGGACACTTCCCTCATTTGAAATGTTCCCTGTACTCACAAGCTGTCACCCAACCCACCTCTGACCTCCATTTGTTTCCTATTTTTTAATTTTGTATTTACTTTTTTTCTTTTGTACCAGTACTAGGGCTTGAATTCAGAACCTAAGTGCTGTTCCTTAGCTATTTTGCTCGAGACTTTACACTTTACACTTGAGCTACAGCTCCATTCTTTGTTAATCGGAAATAGGACTCTCATAGACTTTCCTGCTTGAACTGCCTTCAACTGAAATCCTCAGATTTCAAACTCTTGAGTGGCTAGGGTTGCATGAGCCACTTGTGCCTGGTTCTGTTTTCCTTTAGTTTTGTCTTCTAAAACTGTTGATACAAATAGACTTTTTTTTTTTATTGTAAAGATGCTATACAGAGGGTTACAGTTACATGAGTGAGGTAATGAGTACACTTCCTCTTGAACATTGTTGCCCCCTCCATTGTTTTCCCCCTACCATCCCCTCCCTCCCTTCCCCGAGGTTCTTTTTTTTTTTTTTTTGTGATTAAGTGATTACATAATTTCCGGAATTTCACAGTATTGTGGAATAATGATGCTCATTTAAAGTCACAAGTTCATTCTAACTTTCCTGGAGCAAATTGTCTATCACGGTCTATAACATATAATGGTGTACACATATACACCATTCATGTGATCAGCAGCATGGGGATATTTAGTAGTGATTCGACCAGATGAGTGGGAGTTCTTTGTTTCTTAAGTCCTGTTAATTTTGTCATATCACCTAGCATTTTGGATTTAGCATCCACTTATCAGGGAGACCATGTACCATTTGTCTCTTCGTTCTTGGCTTACCTCGCTCAACATGATTCCTTCTAGCTCCATCCATTTCCCTGCAAATGTCATTATTTTGTCATTTCTAATGGCTGCATAATATTCCATTGTGTATAGATACCACAATTTTTGGATCCATTCATCTGTGGTGGGGCATCTGGGTTGTTTCCATATCCTAGCTATTGTGAACAGTTCTGCAATAAACATGGAGGTGCACATGTCCTTGTATATTGGTACAAATAGACTTTTATAGCACATCATTTGTTGTTGTTGTTGTTTTATCAGTTGTGGGGCTTGAACTCTGGGCTTGGACGCTGTCCCTGAGCTCTTCAGCACAAGGCAAGTATTCTACCACTTGAGCCACAGTGCCACTTCCAGTTTTCTGGTGGCTAACTGGAGATAGAGACTCATGGACTTTCCTGCCTGGGCTGGCTTTGAACTGTGATCCTCATATCTCAGCCTCCTGAGTAGGATTACAGAGTGAGCCACTAGCGCCCAGCAATTGGAGTTTTTTTTTGCCAGTCCTGTGGCTTGAGTTCAGGGCCTGTTCATTGTCCCTGAGCTTCTTTTTTTGCTCAAGGATAACAAATTTGAACTCTATTCCAGAAAATATTGTTGGTTTCTTTTCTTTTTTGTCTCGTTTATCTGTCTTACAGAGGGAAAGGGGAGTCACAGAAATGGAGGGGCAAAGGATAAACAAATGTAGCAGTGATCCTCACTAGACATTATGTTGAAATGGAACTACACAACTTGTGGGTAGGGATGGGATGGAAAAACTGGGAGAGTGTGAGGGAAGGGATGACGTTGTCCAAAAAGAAAAGTACTCTTTACTTGACTTATGTAACTGTAATCCTCTGTAATCACTTTTATAATAATAAAACTTTTAAAAAACATAAACTGTCTATAAAATTTAAATTTCAGTGGGTGTGAAGTGGATCCAAAAAGTGTGCATTTCTAAGAAACTCCTAATTGGTGGTGAGAAGTGTTGTTTGGTATGGCAAAAGGGACTATATAAATTTTGAAAAATATCATGCAGAACTTTTTGTGTATTAGATTTTATATATGTAAAACAGATAATAATACTGTGTCATGTATATATTAAGTGATATTTATGTTAAAGTACATGGATTTCTACCAATAGGTATTATTATCCTCTACTTTTCTGTCTAAGGGTCTTTGACTCTATGTATTGAGAAGCCTTTAAAAACATACACAAAAACCTGTGTTATAAATTAATGCCAAAATTATTCAGTTTAGAAATTTTGGTTCTAAAAAAAGGAACACAGAGACATAAATGTAAAACAACTTCATACAATCATTAATTCAAGTGAAAAATGCCCCTGGGTGTTAGCTCTTTGGGTTGCTCGTTAGTATTAAGTATTAAATGACTGGAACAAGAAATTTTAACGCTCAAGAGGGAGAAATCAGTAAGACCGAGGAGGCAAGAATTTATAAGAGGCAAGAACTGAGATGGGGGTGAAGACTACTGCAAATGACCCCTAATCATTCTGCCAGCTTCCAAGTCTACCAGCCAGCGAGTGATCTCATTAAAATACAAATCAGCTCAGTCACCTGCTGAATTCTTCCAAAAGCTACTTCAAATGCAATACAAAAACTCCTTGTCAAGTCCTAAATACATACAGACTCTTTTAATGTCCTAAAATAATAATGCAACCCCATCTTATGCTTCCGGGTCCACATCAATTTCTTCCTTTCTCAGTAGATTTTCTCAACCTTCCATTCTGGGCTTTGAAAGAGGCTCTGCAGTTTTGCCAGGTGGGTTTGGTTGGGTTCTCTACCTATAACCACTGGAAATGGGCAGTTTTCCTATACCTCCATCTTGGGAAGAAGCAGTTGATTCCAATCTTTAGCTTTATTGGCACTCCTGATAGGAGTTAGTTGAAAAGCAAGCAGTCAAGGAATTGTGGCCTAAACAACTGATAAGCTGTTAAGACAAAACAAGCCTAGAAAAGAATGAGGAAGTAAGAAATTCAAAAGAATGAAGAAATAGGATGGGACATTAAATCTTTGGCATCACAACCTTACAGGAAACAGAAGAGAGACCTACCAATCAGAACGCTGTCTTCCAGGACTCCAATTCTCACTATTTAACCCAAAGCCAAGCTCTAATAAGGAGGATGGCACTGGATGACTGAGATGGGCTGATTATCTGTATTCCAGTAGCCTATCTATGTCACATGCTTTTTCTCTGCTATATTTCCTAATACATTTTCCTATTGTGAGAAAAGTGTCTTTTCTATTAGAGTAGTTTGATTCCTTTCTGTTAATCTTGTGAGAACTGATTTTTCTGAAAAGTGCTGGCTCTGGCCAGGTGGCTTGGCCCTTGTTAATTACATTTTAGTTAAATCCTTTTCCTGCTGCACATGAACTAAGACATCCTATTAGAAGCTCCTTGCATTTTAGTTACATCCTGTTAACTAAACCACATCCTTTTGCGGATTGTGAACCTGAGGTCAGCCAATGGGAGCAGAGGAGCAGGGTCTGCCGTGTTAAGGATAAAAAGGGAGCAGCCTGCCTGTTCTGTGTGCTTGCAGATTTTTGCCTGATGGTGTACCCTTCTGCTGAAGTAAATTTTGCCTTGCCAAGTTCCTTTCAAATTGATGTCCTTATTTCCTCAACATTCTTAACATACTGAACTATTTCTAATGCTATCATCTTTACGATGCTCAGGTCTTGCCTGAATTTTCTCTTGTCAGATGTAAATAATAAAGGTCAATTTAGCTGCATTAAATTCTGGTAACATATTTGGTGCATTGGCAGGGAATTAGAGACTAGATATGTCTTTTTCTGACTTGGATTCATCAAAAGGTAACACAGTCACAAGTTGCATTACTATATGCCCTGCTGCTAGATAAGGCCTCTCCCCAGATCAGAGCTACAGCTGCAGAAGTGTCCGCCTCCAGCTTCTTCTCCAAACCAAGAGGCTGCTCACTTTGTATCTCTGAGGAGCTTATACTTTATCCTCTGTTGTTCTACTCTCTGACACCAATGGAGGTAACTCCTAAACTCAAGTCTCTCTGTTTAAACATGGAATGGAATGTTAGTTTTACTGGTCATACTGAGCAGCAGTTCCTCACTCCCCTCAATCCAACCACACGGAACAGTTGTGTTCTTGAATACCAAGCTTGTTTCATCTCAGCCTTAGCAATCCCGACAGAATGCTTTTCCTTAAATATCTTGGATGGCAGGCCCCTTCTCATCCCTTAGGTCTTAGTTCAATTGTTTTCTTCTAACTACTTTATTTAGAAGTAACTCCCACCCAATCTTCATCTTTTTATATTGTTTTACTTTCTTCCCAATAGTATAACTCTGCTTCTTGAATTATTGGTTTCAATATTTATTATGTACTTCACAGCTACACTGGAGCTACACAGGGGAGAGACTGGCTGACTTATCCATTGTGGTATAGGCTTGGAAGCTGCCACTAAGCAGGTGGCCATGTGGTGTTTGTTGAGAATAAATATGAAAGTGAAAAGAAAGGAGGAAGAGATTGTTAGGTGATAGAACCATGTAAAAAATGCATGAAGAAGAAATAGGCTTGAAGCATAAAGAAGAGGAAGAGTCATTATTACTGGAAGAAAGAAATGGAGATAAAACAAGTTTGGCAATAGAATGGGACCATATCTGAAACTCTTTTAATGCCAAGCTGAAAAGTCTCAACTTTTAACCATTGAAGATTGACCAACAGGATAGGATGGGAAAACATGAAGTTTTCAAAGCAACAGGGTGGGGACAGGAGATACCAATGGAATGTGTAAAAAGAGTGTTTATCCAGTAGAGAAAAGATCTGGTTGAGTTGGTAAGAGAATTAGAAATAGCAAATTTAGCTGAGGCTCAAAAATCCAGATTTAAAAAACAAATCATGGAATCTGTGTGACAAAAAGAACTATCTCTTGAAATATTTCAAATAAAGATTCCACAGAAATTGGTTCCTATTTCATTTAAAAAGATGTAGAAGAGATGTAATGAAATCCAATTTGGGGTCTGGGCATATTGGTAGTAGGGTTTTAGAATGAGACTGGAAGATCAGAGGGAAGAGATTTCTCTTCTGATTATATTTCACACTGTGATGTGAGCAAGATCTACTTCTCTCCAAACATCTAATGCTTTTGGAAGTGGAAGAGCTGAATTTCATCTCTCTTAACTTTATGGTTAGGCCCTCCCTCAACTTATTCCCAAAGAACTAAAGAACACAGGATAGAAGGAACATAGTAGAGCAAGTGAAGAATGAGGAGTGTCATACTTAATAAATAAAATAATAACTCAATCACCAAATATAAAAATGTTGATTCAAAAGAATTTATGTAAGTTAATTTCGAATACATTTATTCCTTCCCACAACTCTTACCTGTGCAGCAGAGATTTTGGCCACTTGAATGATCTTCTCCATAGAGAGGTAACTCTGCTGTGAGGGGGCTGGGCCAATGGAATATGCTTCATCTGCCTGTTTAAGAATATTACATGCTTAAAAGATGACACGGTTGGTACATATTTGGATGCACATAGAACCACTTCTGGGTCATTTTGTTGTTACAAATTAAAAATTCTGTACACAAGGACAAGAGCAATGAACAGAGACAATGAACATGGGAAGTAGAAGCACCAGCTCATAACTATGTTATGACAATAAGTTTTTGTATGAACATACTGCCCAAACTTGGTAAGTCGCATACAAACTATACAGTAAAATAAAATTAAAATGTTCACAAGTAAAAAAGCAATTGGCAGGACTGAGAATGTGGCTTAGTGGTACAGTGCTTACCTAGCACGCACAAAGCCCTCGGTTTGATTCCTCAGCACCACATAAACAGAAAAAGCCGGAAGTGGTGCTGTGGCTTAAGTGGCAGGGTGCTTGCCTTGAGCAAAAAGAAGCTGAGGGACAGTGCTCAGGCCCTGAGTCAAGCCCTGGGACTGGCAAACAGACAAACAAAAAACCAAAACAAAAGCAATGAGTATTGATTGGTCAGTGATGATATCATTTGTAACAATATAATCTTTGCTAAGTTTAATGCCCAAAAAGTTATAATTTAAAAACAGACAAAATGTACCAGATATAAATAGTAAGAAAAAATTAGAAACTTTATATAGAGGATAATAATAATGTTCCTTTCATATATTTGAGAAATATTCTATGCTATCCTTTAAAACTTTTATAGTCATAGCATTCCTTGAAATAGACTAGAAAAAAACAGACATTTATTCATATATTCAGGAGTATTAATTCATTTGTTCAAAGGCTTACTGAATATATACTATATGTCACATGCTTTGCAGCAGGAGCTGTCTATACAGCAGTAAACAAGACCATGGAACAGACATTAAACAGTCACACACTTTTTGACAGCTGTAATAAAGGCCCTAGAGGAAAGACCAAGGACCTAATAGATGTAAGAGGAATCCTGGAGATGGTCTGAAGTGGTTGGAACAAGCTGAAAGGAAGATTCCCCAATGATGACTGGGACTTGGCCTGGCAAATGGATGGAGAAGCTTGAACTGGGGACAGGAATGGAGATGGAGATGAGCCTTCCACAGAGAGAAAACAACATATGTGGGAAAGTTCTGATGACAGAAGGAATCTGGCCCATTTGAGCAACTGACAAGCCGTTGTCACTGAACACAGAGAGTGGAGGTTTAAGGAGCAGAGATGGGGTTGGATGGTGGTAGGAAGAAGATACTGTAGATTTAGGGGGAGGTTAGAAAGTGTTAGGTTTTCTCCTAAAGAAATACAAGATATTTTTTTAAAGGGGAAGGGAGGGTTTTAGTTTTTAATTTTAAAAAGCACAAATCTAATCCATTCACATGCTGAAGAATATGAATAATGGCAAAAAGGCAAAGTAGCCTTCAGTGCTGCCTCTTCCCTTCCACACTTCACTAGGACCATTTTTATATTTTAAAATTATTTTTAATCTAACAAGTCACAGAAAGGGTTACAGGAGTTAATGTAGAGGAATAACAAGAACAACGTCTTCTTTTAAATTCTCAGTCTCACTGAAATGTAAGAAACAGATTGCAGAAGGGGCTAAAAGAGTAAGCAGGAAGATGACTTTGGGAGGGTAGGCAAGAGGTGACTGTGGTTTTACTGGGGGTACAGGTCGGAGAAACAGGAAGAAGTGAGCAGAGGTGTCTGGGATAGAATTAACAGCACTGGTGACTTTTTAGATAATGGGAGGATGAAGGATAGACAGTAGGGAGAAAGAGAAAGATTTTCAAAGAATCCCAGATCTCTGGAAATACTATTTTTTTTAAAAAAGTGTTATTGTCTAAAATTTGGTACAGATGAAACATCAGGAATTCAATAATAGATTTATTAGTTTGGTACTTGTGACATACAACAAAGTGGAGACATAAAGTAGGCAGTTGGGTGTCAATATGTCATGCTCGAAAGGAAGTCTGAGGTAGAAACAGGAATTTGGGAGGTTTTCACAAAGTTACTGGAGTAGGTAAGATAAACTAGAATGAAAGAAAACAGTGAGAGCCGAGAAGGTCAAAGACTAAGTCCTTAGAACATCAACATTAAGGGTTGAAATTCATCAAGATGAGCGGGAGACAACAAAAGGACATTAAGACAGGGTCAGAGGTCTGAAAGTGAGAAGAATTTGAATAATGTTCAATGATGCTACATGATGCTAAGAGGCGAAATCAACTGCATCAGATTTAGTGATACAGACATTATTAAGGGTGTGCACAGGGACTGTGCCAATAAGTTCAACAGTGTGAACAGAGAAAAGAGCGGAAGATTAAAAAAAAAGAGCAGAACAAATGCTTCTTAAATTGGCAATAAATGGGGGAAGAAAGAAAGCAAAGTGGATAAAAGGTAATGTAGAGGTAGCAATAGTTATGAAGATGGACAATTGATAATCTATGAAAATGCTTTTAGGAAAAATCCAGTAGAGAATGATTAAAAACACACCACTGAAAATAAAGTTGTACCCTTTTCTTTAATGACTAATATTTAAAACTGACAAATCATTAACTACACATACCCATATGGTAAGTGATGCTCTCTGGTATAGGTCTGGTATAGGTCTATAATGTCAAGTCAATTAACATATCACCTGGCTTTACTGACACTTATGTATGGTGAGACATTTGAAATTCATGTTCTTAGTTATCTGAAGAAAATTCAATCTTTTCTTTTTTTCTTTTTCTTTCTGCACTGTGATGCTGGGGCTTGAACCAGGACCTGGATGCTAGTCACATGCCCTACCACTGAGGTCACCCTGAGCCCAGGTGAATTCCTCCAAAGGCAAGGAGAGAAGGACTCCAGAGCCCAGCCGAGGCCATCCAAGATGAGGACAGGATGGAGGCAGAGACAGATGGGTCAGCAGATTCTGCACGGGAAGTTCAGCTCTAATTTTTCTGTGAAATCAAGATTGTCTGCTGGGAACAGGTGAATAGAGGGAGAGAATTAAGACAGGCTGGAATGAAGCAAAACAGGTTTGAAATAGTCACTGCACGGAAGTGGCTAGTGCGCTCCCTGCAATGGCTATGTGGACCAAGCTGGTCCCCAGGAATGGATGCTGGTGCTTAGAATCTCACTACAGAACATGGAAGGCCAACAGTTGGATTCATCCATGCCTGTCATTCTGTTTGGTAGATAAGAACTGATAATAACCAAAAACATGCAAAAAACATGAAGGAAGGTGAATCTTTTTAGAGAGAATTTACAGATTTTACAGAATTGGCAGGCTCAGTGCCAGTAAGTGGTAATTGCTAACAAAAGAGTCGTCATTCCTTCGTACATGAGGGATCTGGACATGTGCCACCCATTGGGTGAACTGATCTTGCCTTTAGATCAGCTATGCCATTGAGCACACTTTGGTTCAACTAGTATTGTATTTTTAAGTGTTCCCAAGTGGGAGTAGTTTGAACTTATACACATCTTAAACTCTGTATACTCTAACACATAAATGATCACTTACAAGATTTAGCTTGCTGCTTTTAATGACATACCATATCTACATGCATGGAATTCCTGTCAGCTTCACTGTACACAGCCACCGACTGCACACCCATTTTTTTGGCTGTTCGTATCACCCTGCAGGCAATTTCTCCTCTGTTGGCAATGAGGATCTTGGTAATGTTTCTTCCTGTTCAAAATACCATGAAGACCATACACACATGTTACTGAGGAGCAAGAAATGAGAAGGAAGATATTATTAACCAGTTCATAAGGATTTGTTTTGGTAAAATTCACATAATGGAGCCTAAAATTAATTTAAATACTAAAAGCTCATTTTTTTCAACTCATTAAAGTTCAAAATATCCTTACTAATATAAACTCTTCATATGTACATGCACACACACACATACTCACACACACACACACACTCTGAAATTAACCAGCCTTTTGGGTTTAAAATAAAATTATAATAGTTTAAAAAGTCACCATAGTTATAACTAATCATTAATAAGTATCTTCTGTTTTAAGTCTTATGATAAAGTCTTGATTTTAATTCTTACATTATCATGATTATTATTTTCTTTTGTGCTGGTATCAGGGCTTGAACTTAGGGCCTGAGTGTTGTCCCTGAGGTTTTTAGTGCAAAGCTAGTATTCTACCACTTAAGCCCCAGCTCCATTTCTGGCTTTTCTGGTGGCTAACTGAAGATAAGAGTCTCCTGGACTTTCCTGCCTGGACTGGCTTCAAACCCTGAACCTCAGATCTCAGCCTCCTGAGTAGCTAGGATTACAGGCATGAGTGACAGGCATCTGGCTCCTATAATTTTAAAGTGTTTTCCAGTGAGGATCTATACAGCCCAGGAATTGTCACAGGTCATAAGGTGCTGCTAGTATCAAGTATTTACGTGTGTTTTGGAATAAACAGGGTTTACAGCTAAACAGTCTATACTTCTAGTACACTTTCCTATGTCTTAATTGAGTATTCCAGCTAAAATTTTATTTGACAAAAAAGAGACTCTGCTACTTAAAAGAAATTATTTTACAAACAGTGATTCAGACCATCCTGATTATGTTTTTCTAATTAAATATATTATGAGGTCTAACAGACAGAAGTAGTGATGCAAATATAAAATATTCTTCTTTAAATTTTAGGCTCAATTGCAAGAGGGATTTCATATAAAAGAGATGGAAACTATGACTTAATAATTAGCAAGAAAATTATTGTAAAAATACAATGGTTCAAAGGTTTATGAGAAACAATTTAACTGTGTACAAATTAAGGATTAAATATTTCTCTACTTCAGTTCATAGTCTGCAGCAAAGCCAGAGTTCAAAGAATATAAAGTCTTTCAGTACCTGTGGTTGTGGTATACTTCATGGTTCTTTGCTTCCAAGAACATTTCCTATTTAAAAAAAAGAAAATCCAAACAGGATTATAATTATCAGAATTTTAAAAAAACCCAGCCATTGTTTTTAAAACTTGAAACCAAGTCCAGGTAAGCCTTAAACTCACTAACAAAGTAGTTTATTAAGAATGCCATTATAGGGGCGGGGGGAGGGGGAGGAAGAACCAACAAATTTAAAAATCAAAAGTTAACATATCCTCATGGCTGTTTCCCTTTGTGCTACAAGTCCTTGAATAAGTCACCTAACCTGTTTAACACTTACAGCTGGCATTTGACTAGAGTTAAGAAATGATTAAACAATCAAGGTTCTCCAAGATTATGTACTTCCAGATCATGAATTTTCAAGTTTGAAAAGGTTTTTTGAGAAAGGTTTTTAAAACTTTTTTGACTTTAAGTCACAGTAAAAACTCTTCAGTATGCCAGATGACTCACCCAGCATTCTGACAGTTCTATTTATTAAATAAAACATGCTTGCCAAACTACAATTTGAAAAAAATGTCAATCAAATTCAAGCTTCTGGTTGGTTAGAAGGTTTGACAACATAACCAAAGAGTAAAGGGAAGAAAGCTGAACAGGGTAAGCAGAAAGAATATCAGCTGTGGAGCCAGAAGAGCTAAGTTTTTATCTGAGAGCCTCTGTTCCATTGCCCTCCCCATAAGAAAGCTTAAATACTAAGGAATACAATTTTATAGATAGAGTTGAGCTCCAGAATACCACAAAGCATGATAATATCTAAGTGTTTTTACATTCTTAAGAACTTTAATGGGGAATACTATCCCAGTTGAGAATGATATTTCATATCTTGATTCAGTATTCTCTCACAAAATCTTCAAGATCTTTCCATTTTAAAAAGATATATTTTCCCCCCAAAGTCCTTGTACTAAAGGAAAAATGACTTGCTAGACATATCTAAACTATGGAAAAGACTGTGAAGGTACAACAATCTTAAGTTCTGTTCATGCAGTAGGTCAACATTGAAATCTTAACTTATAACTAACAGAAAGCAGGCCAGATTTGCTCTGGTAATAAAAAAAAGAATTATTATACCTATTAGATTTCAACTGAAAACACAGTAGTGTTACCAATCAGTTGGATGAACCCCTTTTATTCTATCTTGAGATAAATCTTGAGTAGAAGCTCTTCCTGGCAATACTAGGCCCTAAAATACCCAAGGTCTATAGGTGGATTGGCAAAGCCAGATGCTTCAAGCCTTAAACCCTGGCCTATTGCTCCAGAGTTTAGCAACCTCAGACTCTAGGTATTCAGGTTTGAGGCTTATTGCTCTGGGGCTTCCAATACCAAAGGCCCTGGGCTCTTGGTAGCTACTTAATCCTCAGCTTCCAGCAGTAGTGAGTAGTAGTCTCAGAAAACAGCAAGCAGCAGCAGGCAATGCCTGCTGGTGTTACAGCTCTTGAATAGGCTTCAGGTGTTAGGATTCTCAGTCTCACAGTGACAAGTGTTGCAACCATTGGGCTGCTACTCTTACAGCTCTTGGGTCTAAGGTATCTGAGGCAGCTTTCTGCAACATTCCAGTGACCAGGGCCTGCAGTTTCTCCTGCTTAGCTCCTTACAGCGCACATTGTTTGCCTTGCAGCTGCTTCATATGGGTTGTGCCCATTTGCTCTCTGGAATCTGCAGGTGCTGCTCACTGCTATTGCTGCTATTGTCGCTACCTCTGCTACTGCATCACCTTTGCTATTACTACTGCTTTGCTGCCATTTCTTCCCTCTTCATGTTACCATTAGCCTACTAATGGTAAAGATCAAAAGTAGGTGAGAAAATACCATTTTGGGAATCCTTTTATGTGGCCTAATGTTGCAACATCAGGGGCAACACAGGAGTATATGTTTCCAGCCAGCTTGAAAAGTGAGCCAAACATCCTGCCTAGCTAGGAAAAGGAGTGTGGCAAGGATGTTTGAATATCTTGGTAGATATTCAAGATATACCAAGAATATCTTGGTAGATATTCATGCAAATGAGGGACTGCAATGCACCAGTCACGGCCTAGTCCATCATATAAATGAAAGACTACATTTGCATGAACCACAAGCCTTCTGCAGGAAGTGCTCCCCTTCTGACATGGGGTAGAGATGGCTGCAGGGTCATCTACGGTTCTCAGAGGCTTGTCTGGCTTAGAGAGCCATCTCCACGGCCAGTGAAGTTGTCTGAGACATGCCTTCCATCATGATTATACTGGTCTTCTGCAGCTGCTAGAATATCAGAGTAATTACAAAGTGTCCAAAACAGCTAGTTGGCTTAGGGCCAGTCTAGCAAATTACCAGTAACAGGGCTGCCTGGCTGAGAATTCTCCATTTAAGATAGCCAGGGCATCAGGGAAAGGTCTAACAGTGCTCACTCAGTGAGTCAAATTTTCCTGGCCCCCAATATCTTATTTAAAAAAAAAAGTAAACGTTAAAATGGGTGCTTACATGTTAAATCGAAATCACCTTGTACAAAAAAAAAAAAAACAATAAAAGGGGAGCTTACAATAAGGGCCTGCCATTAATAGTAACACTGACTGAAAAGTGTCCTAATGTTTAACTCTTGTCCCAGTGCCCCAGTAGAGAATGGACTCCTCTAATCTGCCTCATTGGGAAATCAACAAATTGCAGAATCAATTCTATCTTATTTCTTTTCCATCTATATTGGAAGATGTGGCAAAGCCATGAGTATGAAGACTGATAACTTTAATCCATAAGGCACAAAATAAAAATCACACGTGTGCATTAGATACATGCAATTATGCTGCAATATATTTATTTTGTATATAACTACGCAACTGAAAAGGGGTATTTTTTCCTGAGGGTGGCAATATAGGATACAGGGTCACCACAGTGCTTCTGTTCACTCAATCACATGCCTCCATTCCTGAAAGGCTGACTCTAAAGTGTGCCCTGGGAAGGCAGAGTAAACTCCTCTCTCCTCTTGGCTAAGCCTCTGCCCAGTACCTGCACCACGGAGGCAACTGGCATACCTGGAGGCAGTCACCTCCCCCCTCCTGAGGTCACATCCACATCCGGTGTAGCCACATCTTCTCCCACCCCTGGCCTTGATAAGTCTGGTTCAATAGTTTTTAGCCTGCTGTGTGGGCTTCCAACCTGACCAGAGCCTGAAGCTTGAAAGTAAACCTTTCCCTTGCCTGAATACCACGTGCTGCTCTCTCTTTCCTCAGCTGCTGATTTAATTCACCTAACACTGACTCACAGCGATTGTACATGCATTCCATAAAGCAGCTTCTAAAGGAGGCTACTGCTCTTTCAAATCCTTCCAATTTAGTTGATGGAGGAAGTTGCCTTCCTTGCTCTTCAAGAAGGAACTATTTTTCCTGATCCCAAGTGTTTTCTAGCTCATAACATCTACTTTCTTCAAACTCTTCAGGTAGTGTCTGATAAAATTTAAGGCCTGTCTGGGGAAGATGTATTTATAAAATAGCTGATTTTTGGTAAATTTAGCTTAGGACTCTGACTAAGATCCAAGGTCATTGTTGATCTAAAACTTTTTTGCTAACTTCTAGTAAGGACAGACAGACATACAAACACACACATACACACACACATACATATTCACCACTTAACTATAATCCTATATCACAAAATGTTTGGAATGGTTTATCCCCTTTTCATAATCATTGCAACTATAACTTAGAACAGCAGTTAAACAACAAGCTTAAGAAGTTGCTTCTGTTGTGGCTCAAGTCACAAAGTGCCAGCCTTGAGCAAAAAAGCTAAGGGACAGAGCCCAGGTTCTGAGTTCAAGCTCTACTACTAGAACACACACACACACACAAAGAAGCTGCTTCCATGGGATAACTATACTGATTCAAATTAACTTCTATTTTCATGCCTATAAACCCATGACTTAAGATTCTTTCCTCTGAGCTATTAGAGAATAATGGCAAATAGGAAACTTAAAATCTTAGATTTTTTAATTCTACAAACTATTAACAGTGATAGCTATCTCAGAATGATTCATAGACAATAGATGTAAGCTTTGAGAGAGAAGAAAAGGGGTTGCAGTAGTTTCTTGAAGAACCCAAGACAAGTAAGGAAAAAGAGAACACAAACATTATTTCCACAAACTTTTTTCTTTGGCTTGGAGCTAGGCCTCTAATTGAAAATGCAAGGCATCTACAATCACTTGTGGAAAGTCAAAGGAAACAAAAAGTTGGTCTACATGCTTCGGTATGCAAAGTCTGCGTTGTGGATTATCTCATGTGGACCTCAGTCTATTTAGTATCTTCACTCTAGCTAGGTTAAGAAATTGAAGAGAGATTAAGTAACTCAGCCAAGGTCACATCTAGTGAGAAACTACAAGATCTTAGCCTTCCCACTGCAGTTTGTCTCTTTAATTACTAAGCCACACTGTCTCTAGAATTATGGAGGGTGATGGTAACAATGAAGCTACCAGAGCTACTTCAAGGTCTGAAGGTGTTTTCACAAATAACTGAAGCTTAGACTCTAAAATTTGGATCTGGAGTCAAATGACACAACAACAACACTGAAACAAAACAGAACAATAGCTCACTTGACACAACTTCTCAGCACTCTGGAAGGTAAATTTGCTCCGGTTAATCTGATTCATTCCAACAATGGGAAAGAATCCCCGAGAGTATATCTCAGAACTGGGGAATAGCTGAACGGAAACACAAGTGCAGGGGATCCTGGCCCTCACTGCTTGGGCAGGTCTCGGATTCCACTTTATCAGAGCTGGGAGTGTAACAATGCATGAGTACTGTCAACAAACATATACAATGTAACAAATATGACTGTAACAAACAAAGCAGTGCAGGAAAAGCTGGGGCCTGTCAGGAATGAGGGAGGAGAAAGGAGAGAGAAAGGAGGGGGAAGAAGGGGGAGAGAGAAGAGAGAGGAGGGAAAGGTGGGGGAGGAGGGGGAGGAGGGGAGAGGAAGAAGACGCTGCAGGCCCAGCCCCACCTTTCTCCGGGCGGCTGAAGGCTGGAAGGCCGGGAGTGCAGGGAGTGGGGAAGACTCCTTCCCGAGGCCAGGGCGGACCAGAACCGCGGTACGGATGGGTGTGGGTGCTCAGTGCCCTTCCACCTGGCCCCTGCCTTGGTCCTTCTGCACCTCGCGTGGCTCACAGGAGTCCGCGAACCCACGAGCCCTAGCCCCGGCGCACAAATCCACCCGCCCTCCACCCACCGTTACCTTGGGGGAAGCAAAATCGGGAGACGCTGCCACCGGTGCCTCTCTGCTGCCAGCAGCAGCACTGACACTGCCGAGGCCGCCATCTCCTGGAGCTGGACGCGGGTAGACCGGAGGCGCCGTCCCACACACGCAGACGCTCGCCTCTGCTCCGCACGCCGGCTGTCCTCGGCCGGCCACCGTCCCACCCAGGGCAGGAGGGGGCGTCTCCTCAAGAGCCAATCAGTGGACAGAGGAGGGTTTCCGTGGTGGTGATTGGCCAATCCGCTCCGGCCCACGGGGGTGTGGTCTCTCCCTTGGGTCCCCTAGGTCTAGAGTGTGGGGAAGTCCCCTCAGCCTTCCCCGAGTTTTGTTCTCTGCTGGCTTTAGAAACAGCGCACCCCCGTGACCTTTAATCCCGAAACCCTCCACTAACAGAAAAGTTGCAGACCAATGTTTTCACCTAGATTTCTCAGAATGTATTTTTTGTTTGCTTTCTCTCTGACGTCTGTACTATCTATCTATCTATCTATCTATCTATCTATCTATCTATCTATCTATCTATCTATCTATCTATCTATCTATCTATCTTTCCAGAATGAAAACAAAATTGAAAGAACTTTTAAATTATTAGGAAGCAGGACTTACTGCTGACTAGGAAAGTGGCAAGCATCTAGAACGATCCAAATGCCCAATTGCATTGTGCAGAAAAGTTCAAGATGAAGATCAGGAGATTCAAGCTAGACACAGTGGCTCATGTCTGTCATTCCAACTACTTAGAAGATAGAGATGGAGAGGATTCCAATTTGGGGATAGCTCTGTCAAAAAGTTAACAAGACCTCATTTCAGAAAGACAAAACAAAAACAACAATCCTGGGCACCATAGTATGCCTTTGTAATCCTAGCTATTCAGAAAGCATAAGTAGGAGAACTACGTTCTGATCTAAAAAAGATGAGTAAGACCCTATCCAAAAAATGGCTAAATTTAAAAGGGTTGGAGGTGTGGCTCAAATGGAAGAGTTCAAATGTGAGAAACCTTTCCAAGTCCAACAGTTGGGACCCTTGGTTAATGACATGTCCTGTAGCTGAAATTCTGCTAGGCACATTCCCATAGTCACCACTGGCTGAAACACAGGAAGCAGAACTATTCTCTTCTGGGTTCTCTCTCCCTGTTCCATCATAAAATTTATAGAATGGTTGGGAAAAAAAGAAGATAATTTCAGCAGGTGACTGGTGTAGAAAAAGTGAGCAAGGTGCTGGGATCCAGAGTGACTCGGACACAGATATTGGTGGCCCACATCTGTAATCTTAGCTGCTGAGAAGGCTGAGATCTGAGGATTATAGTTCAATGCCAGTCCTGAAAGTCCATGACAATCTTTTTTTTTTAGGGGAGGGGAGGGGGTCTGGTCATGGGGCCTGAACTCTAGGCCTGGGCGCTGTTCCTCAGCTCTTCAGTTCAAGGCTAGCACTCTACCACTTGAGCCACAGCGCCACTTCTGGCTTTTTTTTTCTTTTTGCTATGTGGTGCTGAGGAATCAAATCCAGGGCCTCATGCATGCAAGGCAAGCCCTCTACCACTTGAGCCACCTTCCCAGCCCCATCCATGAGAATCTTATTTCCAATTAACCACTGAAATTCCAGAAGTGGAGGCATGGATCAAGTAGTAAAGCACTAGCTTTGGGTAAAAAGGGTAAGCAAAGATAAGAGGCCTTGACTTTACTTCTCAGTACCAGCACACACACACACACACATACACACACTCACACACATACACATATGTACACACATACATTCACTCACATGAGTGACTATGTAAGTGAAGGCCCTGCTTGCTGCACCCTGAAAACATAAGGCTGGAGGAGGACAGGGCACAGCTCCCAAAGAGGCTCACACCTAGGATGGAAGGGATCTACATCGCTTGGTGTGGTGCCAGGGGGAAAAAGGGTAGTGGTCTGCAATTAGAAGGGAAGATAGGACTAGAATTGGCTGATCCCAGAAAGTCACAGTGGAAAAACTATTGAAAGATGTTTTACCACAAGGGTGTCAGGATCTGACTTATACGTTTTTTTTTTTCCCTTGTCAGTTATGTGGCTTGAACTCTGGGCCTGGGTGCTGTCCCTCAGCTCTTCAGCTCAAGACAAGTGCTCTACCACTTGAGCCACAGTGCCACTTCCAGTTTTCTGGTGGTTAATTGGAGATAAGCGTCTCATGGACTTTCCTGCCTGGGCTGGCTTTGAACTGTGATCCTCAGATCTTAGCCTCCTGAGTAGCTAGGATTACAGGAGTGAGACATGAGAGCCCAGCTTGACTTATGTTTTAAAGAGTGGATTTAAAGGAGCCAGAGGGCAAAATTGTTAGAGTAGCCTGGCAGAGAGAGGATTGACTGTGGTGGTGGCGGCACAGGTATAGGTGGCACAGGTGAGAAGGGACCAGATGCTGGACTTGCAGATAGTAAAAATGGTGAGGTGATGGGAAGGATTAGGGCTGATGCTTACATTTTTAGAATCAAAACGAATGATGTTAAAATGGAAGGAAAGGAAGGGGAGGTTTGGAGAGTAAAAGGTGAAGACCTAGCTTTTGTTTGCAACTTGTTAGGTTTGAGATATGTCTCTTACATAGCTCACACCTGTAATCCTAGCTACTCAGGAGGCTGAGATATGAGGTTTACTATTTGAAACCAGCCCAGTTAAGAGAGTCTGTGAGACTCTTAACTCCAATTAACTACCCCAAACCCAGAAGTGGAGCTATAGTTCAAATGGCAGAGTGCTAGCTTTGAGCAAAAAGAAGTTCAAGAGACAGTGTTCATGCCCTGAGTTCAAGCCCCAGAACTGGAAAAAAAAAAAAAAAAAGATGGCCAAGGACTTAGGGAGAGACTTGCACTTTGGTTTTTTTCAAAGTTTTTTTGTTTTTTTTTTTTTTGCCGGCAGTGGACCTGAACTCTGGGCCTAGGCGCTGTCCCTCAGCTCTTCAGCTCAAGGTGAGTGCTCTACCGCTTGAGCCACAGCGCCACTTCCGACTTTTTCTGTTTATGTGGTGCTGAGGAATCGAACCCAGGGCCTCAGGCATGCAAGGCAAGCACTCTACCACTGAGCCACCTTCCCAGCCCTCTTCAAAGTTTTTATGGTTAATGGTCTACTTCAATCAGCCATAATACCCAGTGATTTAGTCAAGCATTAGTCTCAAGATGCATCGTATTCATAAATTGATTTGAGTGGTAACCCTTTTGTAACACTACTTAGAGATAAGAAAAATATAATTTGAAAACATTAATATAACATTATAATATAACATTAATGTAATGATTCTGAAGACATTTTATAGATGTGATTAATATCCACACATATCTGAGTTTGAGTAGAGGGGATTCTCCCTGATAATGCGGATGGATCTCACACAAATAATTGAAGGCCTTAGTGTTAGAACCCAAAAAGGCACAGAAAGTCGGCAAGAAGACAGCTCAATGCCAGTGAGGTTTACTGGGGAGAAAAGCCTCTGTGTGTGTGTGTGTGTGTGTGTGTGTGTGTGTGTGTGTGTGTGTATCCTCCAGAAAAGAGCTAGACCCCAATTTATGGACTGAAGAGTTTTATAGGGGCAGGAGAGCAGGTCATGAGGGAGGGAGGGGGTTAGCTGCCCGTAGGTGCTGGGCAATAAGAAATGATAGTGAGGTTCAGGGTTGTTAGGAGGGTAGCTAAGGATGAAGTCTGAGGTCTCTAGGGGCACAGACTGTCATCTGGGGTGCAGGGTGTTACTTGTGGTCTGCGTGGATTTTATGCTGACTTAGGAAGTAGTGAGGAGGTAGTGAGAGGAAAAAGGGAAGTTTTCTATTTTGAGCTGATTTTTTTTTGCCAGTACTGGGGCTTGAACTCAGGGCCTGGGCACTGTCCCTGAATTTTTGCTGAAGGCTAGCACTTTACCACTTGAACCATAGCACCACTTCTGGCTTTTTCTGTGTCTGTGGCACTAAGGAATTGAACCCAGGGCTGCATGCATGCTTGGCAAGCACTCCACCACTAAGCCACATTCCTAGCCCTTGAGCTGATTTTAAACAAAACTTCTGGGCAGGGGCCTCAATGGGGGTACCTTGGCTAAGCAGACTTAACACTTAGAGTTAAACACTGAGATTTATTTCAGAGAAAAAGTACTTCTGTGTTAAGACTAAAGTACCAATACTTTTCTGAGTTTCAATATATTTCAGTCTCTCTACACCTATCATCCTTTTTCTTTCTTCTCTCTTTCTCCCTCTCTTCTCTGCCCCCCCCCCCATTCCTTCTTCTCCTTCTCCTCCCACCCTTATTGGCTCTGTCTTCAGGGAAATTCAGGGTAATGTAATCAGTATTTAAAATCCTGGAGAAGGCAGGAGGACCAGTGGAGAGTCGGGGTGAGTAGAAGGAAGCAGAGATGGAACTCTGGAGTGTGGTAGATCAGAGGCCATGGACGACAGCTTCCAAGAAGGTCCAGTAAACAGTTTCAAGTCATAGAAGTGAACAAAGAGGGAAATGGGAAAGTTTGGTCATGAAAAATTCTATCTGTAACTATCTGCCTATTATCTACAGCTCACCTGCCACTGAAGGAATTTAACTACTTGATTAAGAGTGTCCAAGTGCAAAAGGAGTTGACAAAGATTGTGTGGAATAAGCTCATAGCCACAGCTGTCTTGTTAGGAAGTGTGGTAAGAGGCCCCTGACAGGTAGGTAGTGGGAAATGACAAAGGCTGGAATATCCTGCTGCCTTGAGAGATTCCTCTTGGTAGTCTTTTTTCAAGCTTAAAACCTCATCATCAGAGCTTTCTGACTTTGGGTTAAAGTTATTGTCATGACAAAATGCAAGTGGCTTTAGGAAAGTCCCTAAACAGCCACTAACATATGATAATCGACTACTTAATGAGATTGGGGGAGATCAGCTGACACAAGTTGGAATGGATTATGAGGTTGGTGGGTATCTGGTGAAATCAGTATAATCTCTGGGCACTGCCATGGTTTGGATATGGTTTGTGGTTTCCCCCAAGGGTTCTTGTGTTAGAGGCTTGAGTGGAGATGTTGGAAGATGTTGTAGGTCTTTATTAAGAGTGTCCAAAAGAGAAAATCTTAGGTATGGGGACATTGCCCTCAGAGAGGATTGTTGTAGTTCTCCTAAGATCCTGAGTTATAACAAAAGTCAGTTGCTATGAGCTACTCATGC